TATGGACGATGAGCATTCTGCACACAAGGAGCAAGTGAACATTGCACAGCAAAGCGACAAAGATGCCGTTGTTGAAGTGATTCCCTCAACTTCCGCTAAAAATCAAGTAAGAAGTTTTATAATCATTTACCACTACAAGTAATGCGGGTATGGGTATGTGGGTACATGGTATACTTCGTGCATTTGGTACCTCAGTGTCATAAACGTCCCTACCCTGCAATGCACAGTTCCGGGTAGCCCTTGGGAAAGGTGTAGCATACCTGGCAGTCAGGTTTTTGTTTTTGCCACAGGCTAAGGGAGCCACCCCTACAGAAAACGAGCCCACCGCTGGAAGGTCTGGCGCTCCTCCAGCATCCCTTGCTTGGATTTGTCTCAGTGAGCCTAGCAAAACATTGATTTGATAAACACTGCAAACTTCCCTACATACTTGCTCGGTCCTCGCCCGGATAAACAAGGGCCGCGTCCCCCAGTGATCAACCATGTAGGAGTTGATAAGTCAGCTACTGGAAGTCTCTTAATATGCAAGATAAACACTGTGGTGTCAACTTTTAACGTCCGTTCACTCAACTCCATTGAGAAGATTGGAGAGCTTACCGTGCTGGCAGAGGAGAAAGGAATATCTGTTGTTTGTCTGCAGGAACATCGAAAATTTCACGATAGTGCGCACGTGCACTGTACTGATGTCTGCAAAGGCTGGATCTTGGCCAATTTCTCGTGCTGGAAGAAGTCCATGAACAGTTGCGTGGGAGGAGTGGGCATGCTACTAAGCCTCTCTGCTCACAACTCCCTAGAGGGCAATATTGTAGTAGTGAGTAGCCGGACCATTGTGGCAAACTTTAGTGGCAACCCTGCTACTACCATTATATGCTGCTACAGCCCAACGAACTGCTCGGGTGACAGCGATGCTCTAGACTTCTACAACACACTCTCTGAAGTAATAAAGAAGGTACCTGGACATAACCTTAAGATCATATGTGGTTATATTTGAATGCACAAATCAGTCCCTTAGACTGTAATGGGCTCAGCTTTGGGAAAAAGACGTTTATGTTGGATATGGCCAAATGGTTGCAAAGCCAAACTTGATTATATACTGGTAAACAGGAAATAGTGGAACAGTGTCAAAGACTGTCAGGCATATGACTCTTTAATTCAGTACAGTATATTCAGACCATAAGATTGCCAATAGGAAAACAACTGGCAAACGTAGCCATTCCGTAAGAGAGGCTTATACTGTGGAAGTTAAGAATCGCTTTGAGGCCCTGTACGAGATTAAGGAAAAACACATTGTGAACGATCTGTATACTACAATGATCAAGGCCCAAATGGATGCAGCTTAGAGAGGTGTATTCCTAAGAAGAAACGGGTGAAAAAAAGAGTGCCCTGGGAGAAAGAACTTGTCAAGGAGAAAAGGAACGAGTTGAAGAAAGCCTATTTGAAAAATGTCTCCCCAACTCTGACAATGCGAACTACCTAAAACAAACGAAAGAGGAACTTCAAGCTGCATATGACAGCGAACAAGTGGAATATCTGGCCCAGAAGTGCGCTGAGATTGAGAACGCTGCAGTGCAGCATCAGGCAAAAAGAGTATGGGATACTACTAATGAGATAACGGGAAGGACTTCGTCAGCTACAGGTCGTCTTAAAGGCAAAACTGCTGAAGTGAGGCTGGAAACGTTGAGGGACCATTTTGCCACACTCTTAGGCCAACCAGTGGCCGAAGACAGGAACCCAGTTTGTATATTGTACAGGATACTATTCCGATCAGCACTAGTGCCTACACTTTCGAAGAACTCAATACCAGCATCAACACATTTGCCAACAATAAGGCACCTGACATAGATGAAATCCCAGCTGAAGTATAGAAAAGTGGCTTACTCAATGACCAGTTGATAGACATGTGTAATACGATGCTTGAAGGTAGCGGAAAATCTGAGCTATGGTCCAAGAGCATTATAAACCCTGTACCCAAAAAAGGGCGATCCCAGTGAACCTCATAACAAACGTGGTATTGCACTAATTCAAACAGCAGCTAAGATCTATAATAGAGTGCTTCGTAACAGGATCCGCCCCTACTTAGACCCCTTCTGCGCACAAATAAAAACTGGTTCCGACCAGGAAGATCAACAGTTGCTCAGATATTTACTCTTCGAACATTGGTAGAAGGCATATAGGCCAAGAATCTATAACAGCAGTTCTTACTGTTGTGGACTTCAAAAAGGCGTTTGACACGGTGAACAGAGACAAAATGTTTGAAATTCTGAAGGCTTACGGCATCCTAAATCAAATAGTCTTGGCTAGAGCGTCGCTGTATTATAACACTGAAGCCATTGTTTGCTCACCTGGTGGAGAAACAGATTTCTTTGCTTTCCATGCTGGAGTACTGCAGGGTGACACGTTAGCTCCGTTCGTGTTCATCATAGCATTAGACTATGCAATGAGATCCGCAATTGAAGGCTACGAAGACCTGGGATTTACACTGACAGGGAGAAGAAGTCATCGCTTTCCCGCAGTTATGATCACTGACAGAGACTTTGCTAACGATATCGCATTGATTTCAGATAACTTGGATAAAGCCCAATCACTGCTAGAGGGAGTTGAAACTGCTGTCAAAGAAGTTGCTCTGCACATTAACACCGGCAAGACCGAACACATGGCCTGTAACCTCCGACGCAGGGCGACCTTATTACCCTAGACAATTCAAAGCTGAGACAAGTGGACGATTTCAAGTACTTAGACTCTTGCATAGATCAAACGAAGAAAGACTTCGAGATCCGTAAAGGAAAAGCTTGTGCCGCTAGCAACAAACTAACAGCGGTGTGGAAATCAACCTCAACAGAGATCTAAAGACACGTTTCTTTAGAGTTTTAGTTGAATCTGTTCTGTTGTACGGGTCAGAGAGTTTGACATTGACTACTACACTGGACGAACAAATTGATGGCTGCTATACTACACAAGGCTGCTACGTGCTGCTCTAAACATAAGCTGGAGAGATCATATATCAAACGAGAAGCTCTACTGGGATCTGCCTCCAATTTCAGCAAGTCTCCAGATACGTCGACTGCACAGTTTAGTGCAGTGCCTGATCCAGACCTTGAGATAAGGGGGGAGCGGTCATCCAGACCCTTAGATAAGGGGGGCGGGGGGCGAGAGCTCGAAATAAGTAGACAACTCTTTTAATTTTTAGTTTCGACTTAAGAAGAACGCAACATAATAGTCGCTGTAGGTCCACTGTTACTATAGCGGTCATGCTATTTTTATCGTTGGTGTACTACTTCTGCGCATGCGCCTTCTTGAATTACGTCACAACCTGTCGTTTCAATGCTATTTTAGTTGTAGACTCGACACTGGCCGTGGCTTCCTGGGTAAACTTCGCACGGTGAAGCCACCAGGACTTTCTTTAACTGTCGTGGTTTAGTTCATCCCAGACATTTTGACAACAGACTGCTAAAGGGAGGATACGTGTTTGATAGCTGTAAACCTGCCACTTTTAAGCTAAACACAGACAAACTTCATGATTGTCAATTACGTCTACTTGGTTAAACACCTGTTCTTGTACTCACATTTAGCTCAAACATTTTGTCAGTGTTTTTTCTTTGAGAGTGAGTTAATAGTCATATTGTGCCAACCCTGACATCAAGCAACCCTCGCAACAAACCTGAGGACAAGATTAACAGCCTACCGACTGAAAATAATGCAATGAAAGCCTAGGGTAATTTTAGAGATGCAGCATTCGATTTTACAAATTACCACTTGAACAGAAAGAGCGGAAACATCAGGACTTGTTTGAAACCAACAACGCAGAAAACGCCTGCCTTCTGAAGCAAAAGCAGGAAGCATTTACCAATTGGCTTTAAGAAAAGACCTCAACTGCCAGGCCCGATCGCCTCAAGCACCTCAGAAAAAAAGTCAAACTGAGCTGAGACAGATGAAGGATAAGTGGTGGCAACACAAGGCTGCAGAGCTGGAGCAATATTCAGACGTGCACAACTTTAAGAGGTTCTTCGAGGGCTTGAAGACTGTATATGGTACCTTTTCAATGCCATGGCTCCTGTCCCATCTTCTGATGGAACCATGCTTACAGGGAAGTCTGATATCGTTCAAAGTTGGTGTAAAATCTTTAGCCAACTTCTCAACAGATCGACCAGTGAGCCATGCAAGATATGCTTCAGCGCCCGGTTCTAAGCTCTCTTGACGATTCCCCAACACTGAAGGAAACCCAGAAAAAGATAAGCAGCTCCAGGCTGGGAAAGCATCTGTTGCTGATGAGATACCTCCAAAAATCTTTAAGGAGGGAGGAGAGGTCATCACCGTCAAGCTCACTGAGTTGATGCAGCAGTTTTGGGTCAAGGGCTCAGTGCCTAGGGACTTTAAGGACGCCAACGCCATCCACCTGTACAAAAGCAAAGATGACAGAACATCCTGTGACAACCACAGTACAAAGGTATCTCGCTGTTGAGTATTCAAGGAAAGATCATGGCACACATCATACTAAGCTGTATCACACACCACCTCCTGGATGATTTTCGTCTCCGAGAGTCAGTGTGCCTTCAGGAGAAACACAGGGACAATCGACATAATATTCCCCGTAGGAAAGAACACGGAAAAGTGCCGCGAGCAGAATCAGAGCCTGTACATCCTCTTTGTGCACCTGACCAAGGCCTTTGATACCGTCTTTTGGTGGGTTGGACGTGTGGTTTGAATGGAAGACACGCACTTCCCGAAAATGGTCCTCTTCTCTTAGGTCACCAGCGGTGCACGTAGCATTGGACACCCACTAAAGAGGTTGAAAGACAGCCTGAAACAAAAAACTGAATCGAATCCCACTCTAAGATATGAAACCTTCGCCACAGACCGCAACGCCTGGAGAATGGCGGTCCACAAGGGGCTACATGGTTTCCATCAGACCTCGCTGTTGGCCGAGTTCTAGTGGCGCGTTAGCTGCGTCTTAGCGATTGAGTCGATCTATACGGTTTCTTCGAGTTGTTTAAGCTAGACCATTAATGATTTTGTTTTTTAATTTTCGTAAGGATGGGGAGTGGAAAGTAAAGGACAAAGAACTACTACGCAGCCAACAGGTAACAGGAAAAAGTCAAGCAAAGCCTTCACCCGCCATGCCACCTGTAATCGAAAGCATACACGAGGATCTCAGCAGTGATGAAGAAGACGAGGAGGAGAACTTTCGAACCAAACAACTCTTTTTATTTGCTTGGCAAATTGCTAAAGGAATGGTAATTACTATATTATTATTTTCTGAGAAACGTTGCTTCCATTCAGGTTTTGTTTTCATCCTTCAAAGATCGTTGTCAAAGACTATTCCACAAGCAAGAAATAAAGGAAATTAAAATAAGTTAATTTTCTAAATGATTAATGGTTCTTAGCGGAGAAATTGTCATAGTCGATCGAACCAAATTCGGCATGTTTTGTCTGAACTTGAATCAGCCGTTTAGATCAGTTCAGTTGTGATATTTTACTTTTGATTATTGGCTCCTATAATTTTCACGCCTTCACCCGTGCCTTTTCAGGCAATAGTAGCCCCGTAAATGAAATTTTATGGTACTTATTTTCATTTTTCTCTTTCCTTCTTAAAATTAGAATCATCTCGCCGAAAACAATCTTGTTCACAGAGACCTTGCTGCCCGTAATGTTCTTGTTGGCCATGACAACCAAGTCAAAGTGTCAGACTTTGGGTTGATGAGACAAATCTATGAAGATGTGAGCAGCTCAGCGAAGTCCAAAAAACTTCCTGTAAAATGGATGGTCCCCGAAGCACTTTATCAAGGCCTTTACACCACCAAAAGTGATGTGTGAGTATAAAAAAATCCCACTCTTTTAAACTCATTTCGATAAATTACTGCTCAGAAAACCTCAGTCAGCTTCCCTAAAAGTCGTGATCAGCGAGTTTATTTAGAATTTCAGTGGTTATAGTGGCTGATTTCGTACTTGTCAATATAATTTCGACTCGGGACTACATAGTTTGCACATAAGTCCTGAGCGAGAGCGGCGTCTGCTGAATTCTTAATTCGGAGTGTACGTAAAGATCATTTAGTTACTATTATGCGGCAGACCCGTCACCTAAATTGGTATTCTTTTCCGATCCCTACTCTATTAACCTTGCTAGGCCATTGGCTAAGGGCTTTGAGCAGCTGAGGCCTGGTGTCATAGGGTTCAGTCAAGGGCGAAGGCATGGAAAGGTGGAGACACGCCCTTTTGCCTTAAGTTCATAAAGTAAAAAGAAGAGAAGAAAAGTAATGTTCATGCAGTGGCATATTCATGACCTTAGTGCTTTTCTCTGTAGTTGGTCTTTTGGTGTTGTTCTTTGGGAGATGGCTACATTGGGTGAGTAGACAGTCACACACTAATCATGTAAACTTCCAAGGGGAGGGGAATCCCAAGAACTCTCCTCCCTGTTGCCACGGGCTATATGACTTGAATTGTGCGACTAATATCAAAGGACGACACTGGGACTTAAAGAGTGAGTCCTTATTAAAGAAGGTTATTGTTACCAGGAAACAGGCTGATACCTGATGACTTTTATTTGTGGCAAGCTAGCCACTTTTGTTTTGAACTGGGCTCTATGTCTGATAAGTGATAATCGGCATCAAATATGTACGCATTAGTTGTTTTCTGGAAAGAGGAGCCTTATTACTAAGCACCCTGTTTTGTTTGAAGACACATTTCAATGCAATTCTGACCCCTGCTCAATCACTATTCTATTGCAAAACTGCATTATTGAGTGCGGGGGAATGAAGAGTCGTCGACATTGACATTTCCAGGAGAAAGCTATCCAGGGGAATGAGCCGTGTTTTCAAATAATAACATGTATATTTTTTCTTTCGCAAAACGTGATCAGGAGGCGTACCATACCCCACGCTGACCAACTCAGAGTTGTATCGACTGCTTGGCACTGGTTATCGCATGGAAAGGCCTGACATGTGCTCCGATGAAGTGTACGTTTCTTGATCAGAATAGTCTTAGAACTAACAAAAAGATTTGATTTTTCATTGCGTCTTTTTAGTTATAAATAGCCTTGAAAGTTGCAGAGGACAAGTCGGTTTCGATTTTGACGTTTTCTTCGATCAAAGTGATTACTGAACAATAATAATAATAATAATAATAATAATAACAATAACGCGAATATTTATACAGGATAACCTATCAGTTCTAATAAAAAGAACTGTTATCAAAAGGGTCCTGTAATTATCTCATAAATAGCTAAAAAATAAAAAATACAATCGAAAAAGGAAAATAAAATAAAATAATATTAAGAAATCTAAGATTTAAAAATCAAAATCTGTTAAAATCATCGACTTACGAGACTGAAAAGAGTTATGAATTATGGAATACTATTGAAAAAATTGTTTTAAATTACTCTTAAAAAGAAACCTAGAATTTACAGTTCTTAAATGCCGTGGTAAAGTATTATAAACTAGAGCCCCTTGAAAGGCAAAACTTCTCCGTCCAAATTCTAATTTGGCTTTGGGAAGTTTTAGTGAACACCCATTGTTGTGTTCAATTTTTGTAAAATATCCTTTAAAAGGGGTACAGACGTTATCCTGAAGACAATCAAACACAAGCTGGCAGGACTGCCTCTTTATTAAACTCTCCACTGTCTGGACTTGATAATTTCCACCAATGACTTTCTGACTTCGACGTTCAATGCTTTCAATTCGACTCTTACGGGAACGTGACCAACAGAGACCCAAAGTTCCACAATATGTAAAAACAGGTTGAATCATTGCTTTGTAGATTTTCTCAGCACTGCTCTTGTCGATTAAAGGTCGGATTCTCCTGAGTAAATTAAATCTTCCAGCTGCTCTTTTATACATTTTGTCAAAATGTGATTCGAGATTTAAGGATGAATCCAAGTTTACACCCAATAATTTATACGACGACGTGGTATTAATTAGTGTTTCATTTACAGTCAAGGCTAGTTGTCTTCCATTCAATGCATTAAGCCTTTTGGCAGACGGCAAAATCTTAGCTTAAATATTTGTTTCATACAGTGATATGATAGTGTTATTTAAAGAGATCGACAAAGCAAGAATTAGCCTGCGAGCAAGCTCTCCATTTGGGCGAGGAAAACGAACCGCGCGAGTACGTGCTAGCGGGGTCCCCTCGCTGTAGTTTTTCCTCTCGCGTGTTGCACGTGCGTGTACTTGAAGAGATCCCCCAAATGGAGAGCTTGCTCGCAGGCTAGGCAAGAAACCGACAAGCCTAATGATCCGCCGTGAGTGGCTCCCAGCTGGTCTGAAGGAAACCTCTTCCACTAAATCGGAAAAACGGTGTCTATACATGTAATAATGGATTGGAACCTTGACTAACTTCAATTGGTTTGTTTTTTTTTTGCTTGTTTTTTTTTTGTCCATAACAGATATGAGCTGATGGGTGACTGCTGGAAAGAGGAACCTCGCTCTCGTCCCAGTTTCTATCAACTGATCGAAAAACTGGAGGTGATAATGCAGAGGGATGCACCATACTTGGATGTAAACAAACACAATGAATATCATCCGTATTACAACGTGCCACCTGAAGCTAGTGATGATTAAATATGGAGAAAGAGCTTCCCCAGTAATCAGACAATTTCAGACCAAACGATTATAAACAGTTAACCAGTAATGATCATATCGAGAAAGTAATCTTAAAACGTTTGAATAGGAAGTAAAAGTAGAAGCATAACAAGAACCGTATTAGCAGTAAGGCACCTGGGATCTAATCAGGACTGAGCCCTTTACCCAGGAATGTTCTTGCAAAACGCCTGGGTCATAGCGTACCATATTTATATTATTTAGACTGTTTTTAGATTCCTCGATCTCTCACGTAAAAATAAAAACAAATCATTAAGCTGTCACATGCTAGCTGTTTTCGTTTCTTCACTATCTGCAGCCTGCGTAGTCAGCGGGATCAGAAGCGCGTCCAGAGTTTTGGCAGAGGAGCTGCAAAGCCGCTCACCTTGGGGAAGAAGAGGAGACGTTTTGAAATTCCCTCGCAGCTTCACCGCCATAACTCTCACACGCGCGCGCGCGCAAAAAAATGGGAGGACCAGCTGATCTAACAGGCAGCCCAAGCGCAGTATGGTTGTTGCATGTGGTACAATATTGCAAAATGAAAGGAAACTATTGAAGATTCGTCCGGGGCGGTAATAGATTCAAGAAGAAAGTTATTAGCAGAAATTAATTAGCAATTAATGAATGAGGCTGAGTATCTCATGAAGAATTATGGAGATCGTGCGGCCTCGACGGATAACACCCTCCGAGAACTCCATAATTCTTCATATGATACGAAAGCCGAATTCAATAATTGTTTTTATTATTCATTCAAAATAATTCCTAGTCTAAAACATGACTAAAACACGCCTATCTCCATCGATCCATCGATGTTAAGTTCATCCTAGATAGTGCACGTTTAGGGTTGTTCAGCTACGCAAATATTCTCCAAATAGCAGATGTCGCCCTTCGAGTTGTCTTCTTGTTTTTCTTTCCATGTTTTTAGCTATTTTTTCGTCTATTTTTTCAAGTTAACAACCAAAACAAGTCAACCTCGTCCCCAGGTCTTCTCGGTTGACTGTGCATTAACCTGTAAGAACGCTGCATTTTTGACCTCATTTCCTCGCTAAACACAAAATTCCTCCATATTTAGTCATCAGTAACCGGTTATGGTGAATTAAACGTGTGCTTTCAGCCAATCAGAATCGGGAAAATATTTTGAATGAATAATAATTCTCACTAAACACATCTCTGACGTTATTTAAATTGGGTGTTTTTGCTTTTTGGCAAAAAAAAAAAAAAAAACATGAGTGAGCCGCCAACGATCGAATGAAAAAATGTTCGTTGAGTTGATGGGACTGAGGGGCGATGAGGATCTAAGGAATTTCAAGCTCATTTGAGAGGGGGCTTAATAAAGCCGGGGACTTATTTAATTTAGAAAGATGATGGTATGAGTTCTCCGTAAAGAACTAAAGTACAAAGTGGAAAAGCTCAAGTACTTAAGGAGGTTGGAGGTCATGCACCCTAGGATCAGAAGCAAATCCGAACTTCCAGAGTTGGTAATGAAACATTTTGTCTCAGTCCACACCGAAGTTTTACGGTCGAGATTGATTGTACAGTCTATCATTTATTAGTGAAGAATAATTAGGGGAGAGGATGGGGGGCGGGGGGCTTACTAACTTTCTTCCCCAGAAAAGGGGGGGGGTTATTGGGGGGAGGTAGCTTATTTATCTTATTTATTAGAGATTGAGAGGGGAGCTTAATAGAGGATTTACGGCATACTTGACATGATCCAGTACGAGAAATATCTTCTTGAGCAGCAAAACCTTTGCGGTGCTTAGGGCTTCGAGTGCGTCAGGTTTTAGAAATCTTGCTTGAACGCACTTACAGCTATCCCAAATTTCCCGTCCTTTGGATGGGTGGAATCGAAAACCCCAGCAGACGATCTGGGGCCTAGGCTCATTTGCGCCCGCAAGGTATGGCGGTAATAATCAAAAATGCGGGAAACGATAGAATTCATCACAAGAGGGATTGGAGTGTAAAAATACCGAAAATGATGGCTTTTTCCTTTAAATTGCTATAATCAGAAGGTAACCATGGCTCTATCTAGTCCAGAATCACCTGTTCCGCCACGCTGGGTTGTAATTAATCGCACTGAAAACCCGAGCGAGGAACACGAGGAGCTCAACAAGATGGCGCATGGCGTTGTGGCAGAAAGTCGAAGGTTTGTACTCTTGGTTGGGTTTTCTTTTATGTAGCAAGGTTTCGCTTAGTTGTGTTATTAATGGGGGGAACTTATTTAACTTAGATAATTTACTGACATTTTAAAAGGTGTATATGCACACGAGCCCAAGCTTAGCTCTTGATTTATTACATGGCCATAGGCATTGTTTCTATTTTATGTCCCCCCCCCCCCCCCCCCTACACCGGCTAATCTCAATCGATGAGGGTTTTTAATGGGGCTGGCCTGAGAGATTTTCTGATTGGTTCAGTAATAGTAATAGAAGGCAGGGTTTTTTTATCTAAAATATCAATCAAATACTCAAGGAGAAAAGAATAAAGCAATAAATCTTTGGTTGGTTGGTTTTTTAACAGTCACAGAATCATGATCAACATGCAATGCATACCAGCAGCCTTTACTAACCCGTTGATCAGTTGTACAGTACTGTTTTCTCATTTCATTTTGTTATTTTTGTTATTTATTTATTTTCATTTCATTTTGTTTTTAGTTATTTACAAGACTGTTGTTAAATTAATCAATTAACTAAAAGGGGTACTGACTTCCTGAAATAACTAATAAGTTTAAAATGCTAAGAAGCCAGATTGAGTAAGATTATTTAAATAAGTTTATTGTGCAGGGTACAATATGGCAGCATATCAGACTGTATACACACAAACACACTGATATACACACACACACTAGTGCATATTACCATAAGAAGAGGAAAAAATTAGGATGGAAGTTACGAAGTACAAGATAATTGGCAATATTAGTACAGGGAAAGGTAATGTTTTAATTTTTATTTAAATTGAGAAAGGGAAACAGCTGTAATCTTTTCATCAATTGAGTTCACTGTGGATGTCTGACAACCTTTCTCGTTTGCCTGGCTAAAATGGTGACCTGGTTGGACATAATTATGCCCTTTCTAAAAGGAAAAAGAGTATTTTTAGGCCTGCTATTCCAAACCAACTGTTAACTCACTTTTGTAGCACAATAGATGCAATGCCATGTCAAGCTGTTTAAATAGTTTCCATGCTTGTTTTGTTTACAGTGAAGATGTCTTCTCAAGTTATGCTTGCAACTCATTAAATCATAAAGGAATTAAACACCATCCGGGGGATATTGTAGAAGCTGGTTGCTGGGCGGTAAGTATGTATACTGCATGTTTCTTGAAATACATGTACCAAATTTGTCCCCAGGGGCTCATTAAGGGCCGGGCACCGGGCAAATTGACCGGCTGTGAACACGACTTTGCCCGGCTGCTTTACATCTCAAAGAACTTCTTTTTAATACAAGGAACGATCGAAAACAGTTTTAAGTTACAATCGTGCCCATTTCTCTATGAGTCTTATCGAGTGTAAAACATACTTTGCCGTGCAATTTCCACTTTATTACACGCGGCATGAAATCCCCTCGTTCTTTGTGTGTTAAAAACAAGAATCGCCCCATAACACATTGCGAAAAGAACTGTGCTTCATAAACGACCACCTGAAATGTATCAGTGTTGCAAGCACATGAGCATGGCGGCCCAGAAAAGAATGTGTTCGATAGCGTATTATTTTTCGGCTTCAACCAAAGGGCCTCCAGTAGAGAAAAGACCAAGAGATGAGTAGACTTGCCTGTATATATTGAGTGGCTTAATCATCGTGTTCAACGAAGCGAAGCGTGATTTTTATTCGTCTTATGGTTTACGCCAATGAATTAATTTTCGGTGCGTTCACGTTAAAACAGTGCTCCTCCCGTCTAGTCATTGAAATTTTAAAGATAAGTTGATTACGGCTCAGATGCTGACGGTGAGTTTCAGGGCTCGAAATTGCGACCAATACGGTCGCATTTGCGACTCAATTTTTCTTATTTGCGACTAGAAAAACGAGAGTAGTCGCAAATTTGCGACTAGGTTTTGCCTTAACTGATACGAAATAAAAGGACTAGCACTGGAATTTTTGCTTACATAAATTTAGAAATAAAAAGATTCATTGAAGTAGCGTCTTATAATTTTGTTACAATCTAAAGGTTTACCGTAATTTACCTGGAATGCATACACGCAACAATATTCCTTCGACAGCACGCCATTTTCAGCGGGTTCTGTAAACATGTACATTGCAGGCTTATATTTCGTTTTGATTTGCCGCTGACAGTCCCGCCAGCATGCTGAGGACTTTTCCTGCGTTTATGACGCGCATTACAGCCCTCACAGTACACATGTGTTCTTCTTTAGTGAGTCCATTATGTCGGATGAAAGCGACTTAAATTGTTTCAAAGGTCACATTTTAAACGAAGAAATCGACCGAGCGAAAGTTATATACTCAAGAAAACAAGAGGAATTCTCACGTTTAATCAATCAGCAGCCAAAACCAAGACACAGTAATCTTCCTCGAGATGAATCTGCGTATACATGAAAACGAGGTTTAGCAAACAAAGATGGCGGAATGTCCGCATGGCACGTATCGTCGTATTGAATGATTCAGTCCTTCAGGGTTCTTTGAATAATCACTGTAGTAATACCCCTGATACTTCAGATGTAAAGCTTAATATATAAAAGAATTCGTTACTTGTTTTGTCATCGGTGGAAAACCTGCAAAAGGTAAAACTAAAGGAATTTAGTTACGTAACGTAACCTATAACCATGTCGGATGTCCGCCCAGTACAAACGTTATTGCTATTTTGCAGAGATTGGAGGCATTTAAGAACTGCAGTTTCCTGCTGTAATATCTGTTCATGATTTGGAAATCTATCGCTTTGACTAAAATAACAGACACTAATTTATGTGCCTTAACGCAGGTTCAACTTGATCGTTTAGATGAACTGGTGTTGTCCAAGACGCTAAACGTTCTGTACTATTAAGTCTCGAAATGACATGAAAGCTGTTGAAAGAATGAAAATTAAAGCGTTAATCATTTAAAAGCCTACTTATTTCTTGATTAAATGGCCTCAATTAATTTCGCGACTAACATTTTCAAAGTTGCGACCAAATTTTCGTAACTAGTCGCAAATTTGCGACCAGACATTTTTTTTAATTTCGAGCCCTGGAGGGTTTGAGTAAAGATTATTATGAGCAGAGCTATTAAAAGAGAACCAAAAAGTCCAATTTGTGTGGTGGGTATTGGTATCAAATCATGATTAAATTTTCTAGAAAAGTTATCTTTTTGTGGTTGTTGAAAGTCATTGTCTGCAGCTTCAAAATGCAGGAAAACACATCCTTACGACTATAGAATTTCAAAATTTTCCGGGGGAGCATGCCCCTGGATCCCCCTAGAGGTGTGTCAAACTCAGTTGCCCTCCTGTTCAAAACCTTAATGAACCCCCTGTGTCCCTAGTGTGGTTAAACAAGCATTAGACCTTGTTTGAGTCAGAATTTTCTTTGTTTCCTAGCCTCAACAAAGAGAAGTCATTATGTCATGTTGCCATGCTTACTAGCAAAATTCCTGGATCTCAACAAACTGTGGCCCTGCAATTATATGGGAGAAAAAAAATCGACTGTATGACTTTCCTGTGATTGCACTTAGGACTTTTCTTTCATCATTCGACAATGCAAATCATGAAATGGCCATTTCTGTCTCGAAAGAAGGACTGTTGAGATCCAGAAATCTTGTTACCATGGTAAAGTGATATCATGCTTTTCTCAATTATTTGTAGGGGACAAAGATAATACATTCCATTTTACCAGAGGACAGTTTATTCTCACAATGTTCAACTGTCTGCGCTATTGATATTTTTGTTTTTAAAAAGGTTGTTTCATTTTGTAGGTTTTACTGATGATTATCTTTTTAAAGTAAATGCACAATAAAAATTAATGGCTACTGACTTCATGTATGTCCCCTCTCTTTCCTAGGCACAGCAGTTACCACGAGCTAAATACCAGTTGTTTAAATCGCTTCCACAAGATTTAGTAGAGACAGGTGATGATAATTGACATATTTACTTTGACCAACATTGGGCGATTCCAGAAAATATCCATACCATACCACGGACGGCTTTAAGGATTTCCGAAGGGGAGGGAGGATTCACGATTATGGAATTCTGAAGGCATGGGGGGGTATTTACGATTTGAAATCCGAAGGTATGGGGGAATTCCACAGGTGGGATTTCTGGAGTAGAAAGTGTAGAGTAAGTGATCCTGGAAAACGCTATTGTTGTGGACTTTTGTAGTTCGTAAATAAACCACGAACGTATGACCGCGGAAGCAGAAGACAAGCATCAATAGATCAGACACGTGTTTACGCTCATAACTTATAGAAGTGAACAGTAAAACGTTGGTTTCACATTTACCTTGATGAATTTCTTATCACGTGAATAAAAACTGAAAATGTATCTTTTAATACCGCTTGCAAATTTCTTGTTACTCCCGTCCAAAACCGTCCGATAAACAGTAAAAAAACTCGCACCAGTCCCTCACTTCCAAGGAACGCCTGTCAGATTAGAACGCTGCGTGCGCACTACATGACGTATAAAAGGACGTAACACGACTTGACGGTATATTTGACCGCCAAAAGATTTTAACAGTCTGTTTGAGCTATTTTCCTTTGTAAACGCGTCAAAACAGCACAAGAAAACAAAGAGGAGTAAAATTACCTTAAGTGGTGTTTATTTTTATAGCCAAATTCGGACTTAAAAAGGAGTTTGCACGGCCTGGCAACTAAGCGTAGGTTTTTCTTGTCACTGAAGAGTAAAGCTTGTCACCTGGTGCCGCTAGATCACAGCCTTGAGGAGGCATAAATTCATGTTCGTTTGTTCTTATAGGCGTTGCTAAGTCGAAAATGTACTTCAAAAAAAAAACCGGAAATTCTGAAGGGGAGGGGGGGTTCACGACTATGGAATTCTGAGGGCATGGGGGGGTAGCGCATTTTGGAATTTCCGAAGGCAAGGGGGGGTTAAAACATGGAAGCCGTCCGTGGTTGGGTATGGATATTTTCTGGAATTGCCCATTCTGGTTATTCTCTTGCTTCTTTAAGTCTCTGTTACTTGTGGCTCTCAAGTTCTCTTAGTTTCCTTTGCTCTGTGGCTCTCTGGTATGCCTGGTTTTCCTGATTCTCATGGTTGGTATTTCTCATGGCTCTTCCTGTTATCGTGGTTCTTGTACATGTAGTTCTCCTCGGTTTTGTGATCCTCCACAAGTACATGAACCAGCCTCTGAGGACTACAAGAACCACAGAAACAGGAGACCAATGAATCATGATGCCAATAAGAAGTAGGAAACCATTTTAAATTCAAGAATCAGGAGAACGCATAAGACCATTCGGACCCTGGCAAAAAAATGATGATACCGATGAAAAACATGTGCGACCATTCAAATGAGACCTCTTCAACTGTACTTTTCACATGGCACCAGACTAAAAAACTAATGGTTTTTTTTCCACATTTACATGTAAAAACTCTTTAAAAATGAAATTTGAAATTTTTGTTGAATTGGACACTTTGGTCACTTGTTGAAAGGAAAGGGTTTACATATAGTTGGGTTTTACTTACAGCAGCTTTGTCCCCCTCCCCCCTCCCCCTCCTTTAATCAGACACCAAAGGGACAGAACCAAGTGTTTTCTTTACAGAGCTGTCTGCTTTATTATTGAGGTAAAGTAGTATGTATAAAGTTAGATGTCTTTAAGCTATATAATTATGTGCAAGACAGAGAATTGTTTTGTCCATTTGCACATGGCTAAAAGTTTGTGTAACAACTCCCAACAACATGCAACAACATTGCAACAACATGCAACAGGGTGTGCCAATGGACGCAACATGTAACATTCAACAATGTTGAGAGCTGTTGGCCGACAATGTTGCATCCATTTGCACGAGGCTTTAGGATGAAAAGACCTTATAGAGGTGTTTGCATGGAGGGGTTTGATCATATTTTAGGTGATAATTTTGTAATAATATTGATAAAGGGAAATGTTGATAAGCCTATTTTTTTTGTTTACATCAGGCAAACTAAGTGATTTGCAACTGGAAGGAGTTTTGTATGCTGTAAGTATAATTATCACCTTATTAGTATCAAGAACTCTGTCAACATTTGTCGGCTTTTGTATTGCTCTTTCTTCTTTCCACATAAAGCATTTAAAATATTTGGGAAAAGATGGATTTCTAGCTAAAAATAAATTCATTACAAAAAGGCCCTTCCAGCTGCTGTGGATATGTGGTAGCAGAGAGTGTGTTATTGCACAGTCATGGTCTTTAGTCATAAAATCAAGTTAAATAGCATGAAAAATTCATTTTATAAACTGCTGTTGATTTTTTTAATAGTGTCAAAGACATCAGATGGTCCTTGCCAATGGACAGAGAGCTGGATTCTTTATAGGGGATGGTGCTGGGGTTGGAAAAGGAAGACAAGTGAGTACATTTTGTTTTTGCACAATTTCATGCTGTTAAGTCGATGAACTGTTACTTTGTTTATTTAGACAAAAATCAAGAACGATGGCCATTTTCACTGAGGTGCAAATTTACCTCATTTTCATGCTTGCAAAAGCACTTGCCTCGTTTTCATTTTAAGGTGACTCGACCCAGTTTTTTGGGGAGGTACCATCCTTACTTTGAAGCTCTCTGGTATCCCCTCCTTTACTTTTATCGTAAGTCTAACACATAGAATGGATAACATATAGATCAATCTACAATAATTATAACATAAAATTTTTGGCGATTAGAGTAAATGTCACGTGGTTATAATGCCACGCCCCTTTGAGGTCTGAGTCGAAAATCTGCTGTTGCCGGCATTTTTTCGTGAAAATCTCTCGGCTACACATAGTGCGCATTAGTGCCTTGCACTTTCACCAAAATCGCAAAGACCCAATTCGAGAAATTCAGCGGTTTCCAAATTTAGGTCATAATTTATGCGAAAATGATAAGCAAACTTTACACGAGTACATCTAATAAACTATGAGATTCATCCCTTTATTTTGGGCATCGTTATAAGAGATGGGTCCTTGCAAGTCAGCAAAATGCTTTAGGGCCTTGTAAATGCGCGCGATTTCGAGCAAAGCAAACATATAGAAATTATAGTTTTCGCTATTTGTTGACGTTTGTCAGCGTTTAAGAGTCCTTCTCACGAAAAAAGCATTTTCTTAAAAATTCGTAGTTTTTTTTCTTTCAAATTTTTTCAGGGCCACAATTGATTAACTAACTACCCGGACTCTGAATTTCATGGTCATTGAAAAACTGTGACATTATCTTCTATAAGCCCAAACTTGAGTAAACATTGAAGATTTTTAGCGTTTTGGCTGAGTTTGTTCTTTGGGAGTTGTCTATTGTTTCTAGTCTGTCATTATACAGCATTCTTGTTCAGCATGCATGTGATGACCAGGCTTGGGTGACTTCCGAATGCTCACTGCCAAACCTTGAATATAGAACTGTTTGACTTTAAGCCCATTAAATTTGTAGTCAAGATTACACTCCAGTTGTTTTCTACTGTAGATTGCTGGCATTGTGTTGGACAATTTTGAACGTGGAAGATCCAGACATATATGGTTTAGTCTTTCAGCTGACCTACGATTAGATGCCCAAAGGTGTGTTCAGATTATTTTTTAGCCAAAGTCTGATTATGTATGCAATGGAATTTTGACCTTTTAAGTCAATGATTTTAACCCATTCACTCCTGGGAATTTTTCCAAAAAATACCTTTTAAAAAAGTCTGCTCTCTATGACTTATTGGCAAGGTAGGTTTTATTACAGATTAGAAGTCATAAACAGGATTTTCTTTTTCAAAATCATCTTCTGGTCCCTCAGTCGATCCTACAGGATGCAGGCAGTAAATTATATTGCATCTTTGGAGATCTGATACATCAGGGGCACAGGATGCACAGGCAGGGGTAACAAAATCACTGCAGCATTAAGTTCATAATTTCACATTTTTTTGGCACTTTTACATGTAACCCATTCACCCACTAGAACAAAATGGTCCAGGGGTAATATTGGAAGGAATATTCAGAAGCATTTCCACACCAATGATCCAATAAAATCGATAAAATCGGCTTTGGATTTGGATTCACTGATTCTGGACTGTGACAGAGTTTTCATGATATGAATCCCTATAGCAGTTTGTTACAAAATCAGGGATGCTGGTAATTGCTCTCTCTCTCTGTATAGCTGTAAAATACTATAACCCAAGAAACTGACAAATTTCTGATTGTTTTTCATTTGTCAGAGATTTACATGACATTGGTTGTTTTGTCAAAGTGATAGACGGTTGTCAGCAGCTGGATAAAGAAACCAGGTACATGAACTCAAATACCATGGGTATTATTTAGAGTGGGGCAAGAGGGCCATGCCTTCCCCTGCCTTTTTGTCTAAAATCTTGTTAAATTTCAGAAAAAATTCTCTCAACATCTGTCTTCCAGAATCTCAATGTTTGGACGAAATGCTATCAGAGTTCTCTCTGTTTTGGAATTTTTTAAATCTTTCTCTGAATACTACGAGTTATCTACACTAGCTGTTGTCTGTTGTTATCATTATGTAACACAACATATTCTTGGACAAGGTACATAAATTCCTTTTCTTAATAATTATTTTCTAAGATTTCTTTTTGAAACCAATCTGTGCATGCAAGTTTCATTAATTTTCATTTTCCTTCAATTCAGGTGTATTTTTCCCCAAGTGATAATCTGATCCAAAATGTTTCCAAGCCAACTATTGCTTCCTACAGTGTAAAAGAAAGGAGAAGTCACACTGCCATGGTAGCAAAATTTCTGGGTCTCAACAAACTGTGGTCCTGCCAATATGGTGGGGAAAAAAACAACAAAAATTTTTTTTCTGTGCATCATTGCTTTTAAGAACGAAAGGGTCGCTGGTATTTTCCTTCCATCATTGGACAATACAAATGGCCATCCATCTCTGTCAAGGAAGATTATTGATCCAGAAATCTTGCTTCCACGGTAACATGACATCACACATCTCTCTATAGAAGCAATATTCTGTGATTTATTTGACAGTAATAATAGATCAGTAGGAATTTTAAAACAAATCCAATAACATTGACATTATTTTGTTTTACAGAGTATTTGGCTTACCTGCTGATTTTAAAGAGGGTGTTGTCTTCAGTACATACGCAACACTGGTGTCGTCTGTTCAAAAAGGTGAGCGTGCAGTGTGAATGTCATCTATCACTGACAATAGACAAGGTTTTTTTTTTTGTTGATCTGATTTGTTTTTTTTGACAGGTGCCAATCGTTAAAGCAGATTGCAACAGCTCATAGACTGGTGTGGTGGTGAGCAGTTTAATGGATGCCTCATATTTGATGAGTGTCATAAAGCAAAGCATTTTGTACCTGTAAGTGATTTACAATAGTTTAGCTCTTATTCTTCACACTCATAACTGCAGCAAATACATGTAAATACATATTTAAGGCAAAAAGCATGGATTATTAGACCAAAACTCATTATTCATCTTAAGTAAAGTATATGTATCAAGTTTGAAATTCCAAAATTTTGCGAAATATCCAAGAATTGAGTCCGACATGTCTAATTTGGGTCGACCCATGAATTAAGTTCGAGTGGCCCACATGGGAATTTTTACTGTGGAGCAAACATCAAATTTTTCTTGTACTGAACCTAATGTATAAATTACAGTAATCTATTTTCACTGTTAAGTATTAATTTCAGACCATTAAACATCGTGGCAATGAATTGAGTCCGGCTTCTTAAGTTTGATGTCTGAATGAACCAACGAACTTATATCATTTGGGTCAACCTAAATAGGTGTCAAGTTTGGTACATGAAAAGTTTTACGTTTGAACTGAGCCTAAGAATGCCACAGGTTTTCAGTTCTTGGAACTGACAAGTTTCACTCTCTCTAAATAACGTAAGATTGGTTTGGCTTTTTTGCCTGGCTTCTTCCCTATCAGACATACAGTGTTCTCCCTGAATTTTAGCTCAGCTGGTAAGGGACCATTCTTGGCCAGTAAGGTAAAAAAGATGTGTGCTAGAGGGGCATTTTCCTTGTGGGGAGGGGGGTAGTAGAATGAGGGACATGCCTTCTACCTCGCTGTGAAATTTGGCAGCTAAGTTCTCTGAAAAGTCATTCCCTCATTTTTAAGACCTATTTTACACAAGTTAGCCATTGTTATCTGTAGACAACAATTTAAAACATTTGATTGCAATAATCTTACTCTGTCTTCAGTGCCCTCTGGCCCATAAAAAAGAAAAGTTGTGTATACTTTAGTACACTTCCAAATATTCATTCATTACCTTGATCTGATCGGAACACAACTTGCGTATTGTTTTTAAAAACAACTTATTTAACTTTAGTAAACCTTCAAACAGTTGCAGTGAGTCGGTAAGAAGTGTTGCTTCAGATGGTAAATTTTACCGGTTACTGCGTGATAAGGAGCACACCTGACATAAGAATTCATCTTTAGGCCACAAAATTGAATTACCTTAAACAGCTGTATGATATAGGAAAGAGCCCAATTTTAAACAAAATCCAAAAAGAAAACTTCAATTTGTTAACCTATAACTTATTATGTCCTATTTATGTATGAGCAGGGCAGTAATTAAGAACTGGGGGCCAGGGATTTCCCCCGGCTACTGTGAATGTGGTTCCCAGCTACTTTCATTGGAAAATAGAAGAAACAGAACCAAAAGAATTCCATAGCTGTTTGATTCCCTGCCTACTTGTTGTATTTACCCAACAACTTGAAATCTCAGTGACAACCCTGTATCAGTAAATAGATTTTTTTTCAAGAAAATAATCAGTGGCTGTATGGAATAAAACCCTAAGTGACATTTTTGAAAAACTACAAGATCCTTTGTCCAAATCGCCTCATATTTGCCCATGTATGTGAAAGGAGGATTTGATATCATGTCAATTGTCACTAGGGGCATTGTTCCGTGCACCCTTCAAATTACAAAGATTAGAATATGTAAACTGAATCATTGGATAACACTATTCTAGAGCTCTGATTGGCTTAGCCATCACGGTATATGAGCCCTTATACGATGCTCCCCAAATATGGTAACTGTACACGTCTGCTCAAAATTAAAAACAAGCTGAAAATTGGTTGTTTTTACAAATAAAGTCAGGACGAATTCTCGATATTTTGCGGGCGTTTTTAATAAAACAATATTCCACTCGTGCTTGTTGTATATGACATGATCATAGTCAACTCATCCAACACGCGCGAGTGGAATAATTGTTAAATATACCTGACCTCCTTACTGTCTCTACAGAGTCCCCCCCCCCCCGCTTCCCCTACAGTGACTGCTGTACCCAAGATCTCTCTTTTTTAAAGATTTATTCTTTTCTCATTTTATAGAATGCTACCCAAAGCTCGTGTTGTGTACTGTAGTGCAACTGGTGTGACAGATGTAAAAAATATGGTGGGTGTAGAGTGATGAATTAATTTTATATAATTGACAATAACGTGATTTTGACTGAGTATCAGGAAACAGCTTGTTACTATTAAATGGTATCCAACTTTGCTTTGCTAATTTTTCGCAAACAATGCACTAAGTAAAGGTTGGCATGTACCTTTAAAAACTATGCTGTACGCAGTCAGCATCTTATAAGATACCACTGTACAAAGTTAAAACTTTAAAGTGAAACTTGATCTTGTGACTTGATTTTGTACCTGGGAACAAAGATTTTTTAAGGTGAAATACCATCGGTTGCATCTAAGCGTTGACACGAGACAAAAAAAAACATGTTCTAATAGAGTGCCAGACATGACGTGTTTTGCCGCCAAACATTTGCCAAAGCCTTTAAGTCAAAGGCAGAGGTAAGTTTGTAGCCAACTGGAACATGTTTTTTCCTCAGGTGTACACGCTTAGATGCAGCCGACGTTAATTATGATCGCCGGGATGAGTGTACTGAACAGGACTGTTGTTGACAGTGATTGACGTTTTGACAGGTCTTCAGGCCCTATCCACATGTATCGGGATAGTTTTGAAAACGGAGACTTTTTTCTCCATTCTTGCCTCCATCCACACATAAACGGCCTTTTCAAAAACAGACCCAGAGTGGAGATTAATTTTTTTAAAACGGCGGCTTCTCGTTTAATGTGGGCTGTCGAAAACGGAGATTTGTGAACACGATTGTCATGCACCATATACTACTAGCGTTACGCATGCTCTGTAAGAGCTGCTATCGTCTTTCCATCGTTTTAGGGTTTTCATGTGGACAGGCAAAAACGATTCAAACACGATTCATGTAGACGCCTATTTTTTTTTTCAAAATCGAGAAAAAAATCCCCATTTTCGAAAATATCCGGATAGGTGTGGACAGGGTGTCAGGGTCAAAGTCAGTTGTATCACCTCAGTTGATGGTATTAAACTCCGGTTCAAGGTACATGATTTCTAGGTACTCAGTAGAAGAGCACAAAGACTCTTGTTGCGTGAAGTTTTTAAACCCTACAATAATTGCTGAGAGATTATTACAGCAACCATGTCTAGAAGCCTTAGGTTTCTGACAATGGTCCCCTTCAGTCCAACGGTCGATCAATACAGTACACTGATACAGTGATTTGATTATTTCCAGGCATTTATGGAGAGACTTGGTTTATGGGGAGATGGAACAGCATTTAAATCGTTTGATTCTTTTCTAGCCAGCATAACTAAGAGAGGTCTTGGTAAGTGGCAAAGTTTTCAGCCTAGACTACGAGCATTCTCTCTTTTTTCCAAGTCCGTCGAGAAAAACGCGCGAGACACGCAAATGACCACGCGCAACGCTCTCTCGCGCGCGTACACTCCCCTCACTAAACTGAAGAAAAAGAGAGACTGCTTGCAGTCTATTTTCAGCCCCAATGATCCACATACAAATTCTCCCGACTGATCCCCCTACCTTTCCTTAAAGAATTAGTTGAGAGATTTTAGTGATTATTTTATGAATTCTCTAAACTTTTTCTTGTAATGATGTATGGATATGTTTAGGAGAAAATTAATGTTAATCACGTTTGGTACTCAATGGGATAAAGGGGTTATATCAAGATGACTTCCATATTCTTGTCAAAGTTGAGCTGAAATTGTAACTAAGTATTCTCAGTCACCTTTTTCCATACTTGGAACTCTAAAAAGAAAGCTATCAAATGATTCGATCTAAGCCAAAGGGAAGTAATGCATGTTCGTTTCTGGTCACTTTTCCAAGAACTCCTACCTGCCGTACAATGCTTAGCTGTGATAAGAGCGTTAAAGATCTTAAGGTGCAGCGCTTCCTTGTACCTGCTCTGGCAAATTACTCGAAACCTTAACCTAAAATATGGGTAGACCGCCTGTACTATAACCGTGGAGAGACGGCTAGCTAGGCTAGTGGCTAGAACGGTGATGCGCCGTGACGATGCTATTACCACGTCTCGGAAATCATGGTCACCTTTTATATAGCCTGTCCCAGGCTTTGAAATAGTGGAGTGTGGTCTGAAGTTAGAGAACGGGAAAAAAATAATAATAATAAGGAGAAAGAGGGAGAGAGAGGAAGGAATTTCGCCCTCACTCCCTAACCCACCCCTTGCTGTTTTTTCTGCACACATCTCCTTGCGTCGTCCTCACAATCTGAACTCCTGGAACAGGAGCTTACACTTCTCCATCGGCAGAAACGATGTATCTCAAGGTCACTAATATTTAAAATCTTTCCAGGTGCTTCTGAAATGTTAGCTATCGAAATGAAGGCATCAGGGATGTACGTTTCTAGAGGTCTTAGTTTCAGACAGGCTGAGGTAATGCATAATTTCAGAAATGGCATCGTAATTTTCTGTTGTAGGCAGAAGTTTTTCTATCATACTGAAATATAAGGCTTTTTTGCAACGCTTATTACTTCACTTCTCTTCCTCTTTTGTTACGAAGATTTGATAATGCTTTTTTGTCGCGTTTCTGCAGTTTGTTAATGTTGAGGCGACACTGACTGCGGAACAGAGAAAGGTTTATGACACTGCAGTTCACGTTTGGTACGTATGGCAATGTAAAAAGGTTAAATCTTTGTATTAACTGCTTTAAGTAGACCACAACTTAAGATGGAATCATTCAGTGGTTTCTTGTACCAGGGCTCTGGGATTAACTTATGTGATTTCGTAGAAATTGCACTCAAAACTTGTGCGTTTGTTTGAGTCAAAGCAAAAGCAAAACAACAATCACAGTCGGTATTCTAAGAATTAACGGTTGTGTGTATCTTTCACAATCATAGTGTGAATATGTTTCAGCTTTTTTCCTTTTCTCTTTAAAGGAGCGAGTTAAAGAAGTCATTAGAATTTGCCATTGGTCGCACCACCTCTTCTACACCAAGGGTGTGGTCAGTCTTTTGGTCCTGTCATCAGCGGTTCTTCAAACAGCTCTGGTGAGTATTTTATCCCGTCTCTGGTCCTGTAGGGGCGGATATTACAACAAAGCTTAAACGTTATTTAACAGAAAGCGTTCTAACGCTCATACCTTGTCATCGTTTGCTGTTCACATCAACAAGAAGGCGAGAGCCTAAACTAGAAAACCATTTATCTACTTAAAATCAATATCCTACAAACTAATAAGGAGGCGCTCTGATTTTTAGACCTCGTTTAAGTAGTCGACCTTAAGTTTCACCTTAACATTTTTGCCTTATTTCCAGTAATGTTATCCTTGATGCTAGTTCATGGGCCTATTTAAAGCTATACGTAAGACTAAATCGGTATCGTCTCCAATGGTACTGTGGGACTGTTTGCAGACGCTATGGCCTTTTTATAGGATATTACGAGGTTGCGAGGGAAACTGGGTCAAACTACGTCCCCCAAAACAGTCCCATAGTGCAGTTCGATTCGACACAACACCGACCCAGACTCCTGCCCAACCTCAAAACTCTGTGTCCTAGCGAAGTTAAGAAACCTAACAAAAAGAAAACGAATTTCATTTGTATGAGAATAAAAAAAAAAATCATTTTCATATCAATGGCTTCGCACTTAGCCTCGCTTTAAAACAGAGGCTTGGAGAAACTCGGTAATGGCTACATTCGTGGGCCGCTTGGGAGCTCTTGGAATAGCTTACAGGATTGAGTGAGAAATTAATGAACAAGCGACGGAAACAAACCCTAACCCTGAAATAGTAGAGCGAATGAAATAATAGTTTTTGAAGGGCTTCTTGACAGTGGCAATGTAAGGTAATCCAAGACAGTCTTTGATTCTGGATTGCACGCTGTGGATTCCGGATTCGTTATGACTGGAACCTGGATTTCGAATTTCCAATCGTTAGCGGGATTATGGATTCAAAAGTCCAGGATTCCACTTATCACACGAAAATATTTCCTTGATTCCGGAATCCGAATTACCTGATCCTGAGCGGATCATTATACGTTTCTGGAAACTGCCCACTACCCCTCCCTTAAGCTAACATTTTGCCCTAAGTGAGAAGTAAGTGTTGATGTTGGCTCAGGGGAGGGGTAGGTGGGCAGTTTCCCAGAAACGTATAATAATCACATGGGGCAATTTTGCCAGTATCATGTTCCACTTTAAGCGCCAGCAGGCATTTTTACTTTGTAACCTTGGTTATATTGGGTCTGATAACAGATAAGATGTATATGAATATTTTACAGCATGAGTATGAAAGTTCCTACCATAGTGGAAGAAGCCCAGCAAGCATTGCAGGCAGGATATTGTGTGGTCATTGGTCTCCAGTCCACTGGAGAGGTTTGTTTTCTCTTTCTCTCCAATTTTTATTCGTACCCACTCCAAACGGGTTACAGTTTCTGATAACATAAAAATTTATTTATTTCAAGGTCAGCCAGTGTTTAAAAAGTAATGTTTGAGACACTGAGAACTTCTTGCAAAGTTAGTAGAAAGTACGTACCAAATAATTGTTCGCCCCTCACATTGTATAGAGAGTTTCACATAACATTGTAGGTTCTATTAGTGGATGCACTTGATGCAAAGTTATCGCTGCAAGTATTTTATGATCCTTACGGTCTACTCAGTATTTGTCTGACAAAACAAAAAAAATGGTTGGGTTCTTTCGAGAACGCGCAATTCGTCTATAAAGAAGACCTGCAAATTGCTGGATTTGGCCGCTGGATGTATGATGGCCATCGTATTTTCCCTGCAATAATGTTATTTCGTTGGTCCAGCAATTCACCTGTCAAGGCGGATTTTGTTCATCTGGAAAGTGATAGGCTACAGCAAGACTATCAATTTTGTCCAGAAGGCATGATCGACCACAGGTCACTAGATTTCGTAGGTCATGGGCCTTTTTTGATAATTTTACTCAGGTATTGTTTAATGACCGACGGTTATTTACTTACTACTTATAAACCGAAAGTGAGGTCGTTACAGGGAAGTCTCAGACCAAGGTCTTGATTTATTGACCGAGCGATAGCACAACAGAACCATTTTTAGAATACTTTTTTCAACTTAGATATATGTCCCTTCGAATTCAACTCCAGAAAAATTCACCAACATTTGACAAATTCAACGACATGGAATAACAGCGAGGAATTTTGAAACGGCATGAATTCACTTTTTAGGAGACATTTTCATTACTGTCGTTGTCGTCGTTGCTTAAACTCCGCAATGATCGTGAGAAAGTAGTTGCTTGAATACAGTTTGGCTTAAGTCATTGTTTTATTTGTCAGGCAAGTTTGGAAAGTAAAATATCACGTTGTGGTGGAGTACTGAATGGCTTTGTCTCAAGTACAGAAGAAATCATCAGCAGGTTTATCACGCAGTATTTTCCAACTCAGATAATCAAATCGGTGAGTAATTCTGAACAACCCTTCTTAGCTTGTGAGATTTAACTCACGCGAGTGCTTAATTTCACGAGCGCTTTTGTTCTGGCTTTGAAGATCAGAGATGACTTGAGGATAAGTCAAGCTGACACCTCTCTTTCAGGTCCGTTCACTAAGATTTTAAGTTGCCGGGCATAATTTTTATGCAAAGTTTCGACGGAAAGTTTTACAGCTGGGAAGTTCTTTATGTTCATTTTTCCTTCTATTTCCTATGTAAGTAGCTGGGGGCCCTACTCAAAGTTTCCAGAGGAAATTCTCCGTCCCGGACCCCTTAATTACATCCCTGCTCTTTCCCCTTGCGACTTCGGCGCCGCTGAAAAGCACTCCTGCGCTCTCATTCCACCAGCTTTGCAGGTTAATCTCAAGGATGGTACATCACACAACGAATGGATAATTTTGAAAATCCACTCTATACTCAACATCACTTAAATGTAATACACTTTCTGTAACCTTCAAAGCAGGCGTATTTTGCAGGGTGACTGTTCTCCCGCCATCTGGGATATTGAAACTGACAGAGAGTTCAGTCACCTATTCAGTTGGCGTCAGTGAAAAAATGATTCAAGATGGCGGACGCGATCAGTATACATTTGTACCTCAAGGCTTTAGTTAAAAAATTGTTTGCTCTACAGGCCACACTTTCTGCCTTCCACATTTCAAAGATTTGATGGTACTTCTCCTGTTATGGTTCATAAGCCACAGAAGTCCAGTCCAACAGTTTTTTTTACTCACTTTTTTATTTTTGTTTCGGATAATGTGAAGTTAAGTAGATTTTTTTTAAAAAGAGAGAAATCAAGGCTATTATGTTCTTTGTGTAGAATGGCGATGTTGTTGAAGATCAGTGGAGTGTTCAGGCTAAAAATCTTCTACAAGGTTTTGTCAAGAAAATTAATCTCCCAATCAGGTTTGTATCAATGTTCTATTCTTTAAAACCCTTTTAAAGAGCCTGTCTAACTATGATGAGCTATTGCTGTTTTAGGTCAATGCTGTGAAAAAGTCTCTACTTAGTACCTTAACCTAAATACAAAATGCTCCTGAGGAATTATACAGAAAATAGCAAACAAATTTTTAATCATGGAGCACTAACCACTATTTTTTTTGGTGATTGTTACAGGCATAGCATTAAAACTTGAACAATTTGGTGTGAACGTTTTCAAGTTTAAATCCATGTCCGTTCTTGCCATCCGTTGCAACAGACGACAGAAACCAGTTTCAGTGCTTAAAATATTCTAAAATATCAAATTTGCCGCCTTATTTTTGGGATTAATCCTGGGTGGGGATGGAAAGGATCCTGTTATGGACTACCATACACTGTCTCACTCCACCCAGGTGTATAAATTTGGGTACCAAAAGATTTAATCCTGGGTGGAGGTGGGAGGGATCCTGTTATTGACTACTATCCCGTCCAAGGAAGACCAAAAATATTCCTAGTCGCTTCATGCTATGGAGATAGGAATATGCTACGGCCAAATGGGCTACCTGGCTCGAACGCAAACTTTACCTTCGTACCTTTTTGACTTATTTTTGTCTCTAGTCCTCTTGATGACCTTATAAACCAGCTCGGAGGACCAGGAAAAGTAGCAGAAATGACAGGCAGGGGTGGTCGCGTGGTAAAAACTGACAAGCAGCCTCAACCTCATTACGAGGCTCGAGAATCAGACAGCAGCAATTTGGATAGTTTGAATATTCAAGAGGTGAGCAAAGTAATCAGAACTAAATCTTGCGCCGTGTTCTGAATAAAATGGTAGAAAATGCGATTTACAGTCGGTAATTACAGTCATCAGCACAAACGTCATCCTCGGCCAAGACCCTGGAGCAGGCAGCCAGGTCGAAAACTTTCGTCGCACGACTCGTCGCACCGTTTCTGCCGACCTGACTGACTGCCCCTGGGTCTCCGAGGGTGAACTCTGCGATTGTCCCTTACATTTAAAAACAGGAATGTCGTTTCAGCGCGAGAAAGACAGCGTAGTTCTTGCTTTTGTTACTTGTTCCTTGGATTAACTTTACAAGTGTAGTCCAACCTTGAATTCAGGTAGCAATCCGGTTTGCGATCGTGGTTTCATTCCCCAGTATTTTTCGCTTTCGCTATGACAACCAAGTCCGCATTAAGCAATTGCTTGAAGCTCAAGGATTGTCTCTTTAATACCACAGTTTTTAGAGAGTTGTTTGAGTATAATTGAACATTAAACGTTGTGTTTTCGATTGCATTGTATCACAGAGGAACAGTTTTATGAATGGAACAAAACTAGTTGCCATTATATCTGATGCCGCCAGCACTGGTAAGTTCCCTTTGCATCTTGGTTCTTTTCAGGGTTCGTACAGAGTCTTGAATTCTTGAAATTTGCCCAGCAATTTTCCAGACCTGAAAAAAGTCTTGAAAATTGAGGTAAAGTCTGGAAAATTAGTTACAAGCTTGGAGTTTTTTTCTTTTTTTCAAAGCTACAACAAATGCTTCATAAGTGAATTTTTTCCCCGTGGTCAAATCGTATTCAATGTCGCCCGTATTGAAGACATTTAATCACAGAATGAGAACTTTTATAATTCTTGTATGTCCGCGTTGCACCGTGGTTACCGGACGTTTGCAGTGCATCATGAGAAAGCTTGGTTCCTGCGTTTTTCAAGGTCTCTATTGATCACCTATTTGTTTTCCTTGTGTCTGGAAAAAAAGTCTATTGTTTTAGAAAAATTCTGGAAAAAGTAGTGAATTTTGGATCCAAAAATCTGTACGAACCCTGTCTGTTGAAGTTACTTAGATAAAACCTTGCACTTTTTAAATTCTTTTGATACTTGAAAATTGAGGGCAACTGAACCTCAAGTTACTTTCACGCAAAGAATCGCTGGCTCAGTACCTGTTAGCGTTCAATTGAGTTGCCATTGCTTGGAATTTCGCGCAGAAACTCGAACTTTAGAGTGATGTTTCTCGACTTGAAATTCTACTCAAGCCGGTATAAAAGAGTTTTCCTCGGGTAAAAGGAAGCGCAATAAATACCGTCTATAAGTGACAAGACAAGACAAGATAATATTTTATTTGGGTCTTATTCCACCTGGTACATCGACTGCTTTCCAAATAATTTAAAATTACAACCTTCTGTGATATAATTTGTATTATTAAAAACTGAATCATTGGATAATGCAATTCTAGCATTTTGATTGGCTTAGCCGTTATGGTATATGAGCTCGCCGATAGATAACTGCGGCTTCTGACATCAAGAATATAAATCACAAGTAACCAGCTACAATTACAGGCTACGCAGCCATTCACTAGAGCAATCGAGGCAGCAGTATAGCTTCTTTTCTCGTTCAGCAAAACCAGCTTGTGGCTTCAAACAACTTCATAACAAGCGACCAAGGTAATAGTTTTCCTCCGTTGTTCTTACTTTTATAACTGCACCGGAAATCCAAATTCACAGTAATTCCGACGACTGTCACTGAAAAATTCCTTTACTTCACATTATCTGCCAGGTTTTTTTAGCTGTTCTGCTGTGTAAAATCCTAGAATCCCGATGAGTTTTTAAAAAACTAATTTTCATCGCTACAACGATTTGATTTTTCATTCATGCAGTCCAGGCGAGTCCGTTCACGCGTTGACAGTTTTGATAGACGTGTGACATGTGAATAGCGGATGTTCCTTGTCTTTTCCGGTTTGTTCTAGTCGGGGAGATTCAACGAGATTTTGTGGGCGTTTTTAGTAAAACAATTATTCCACTCGCGCTTGTTGGATATGAGATGATTATAGCCAACTCGGCGCTACGCGCCTCGTTGGCTATTTATCATCTCATATCCAACGCGCCCTCGTGGAATAATTGTTAAATAGTCATTGAATTATCCTGCACAGGTATCTCGTTGCACGCGGATCTCCGAGCAGCCAATCAGTGCCGCCGTGTTCACGTGACCATTGAGCTGCCATGGAGTGCTGACAAAGCTGTTCAACAACTGGGAAGATCACACCGGTCAAACCAGACAAGGTACATGCACTGCCAAAACATAAACATTCCTATCCCTTTGATATAAGCTATTTTCTAGAGAAGAAGCTAGAGTTGCTCGAGGCGTACACTTCATCCATATCTTAATGGTTGCACGCTGCACGTTTACCACTTTTTAATTGTACCTTCGCTTGATTAGCCTTGTTGGAAGGGTAGCATTCTGCCAAGCAGGTTTAAACCCGCCGTTCAAGCCCAACACCAACCAGGGTCTTCAAAAAACTGATAAGATCATGCTGGCCGTTATGTAAGATCTTGTCTCAGTATAGATGATCTGGTAATCACGTCAGTAGGCGGTGATGTTAATCCATTGGCCTTGTCTCTTTCACTCTTCCCTAACAATTCGAAGGGGAGGTAAAAAGAACCCACACTGCTATTCGTAAAGAGAGTGAGACCTAGACCTCTTTGGTGTGGTTTATCTCTCACGTGAAGGGGCTGTCACGGGGCCGCAACACTTGGCTTCTCACTTTTACGGTTACTCTGCCAGAAAATGGACAATCTAGTAAAACAAGAATAAAATTTCTTGCGACTAAAATTCTGAAGGCTTTCCTCGAATATCACTACTTCCATTATAGTCTGTGTACAGCAACCTCCTCCCCTTGCGAAAAAACTGGGAAAGGGGAGTGGGTGGCTGTACACAGGGTACTCTCATGATCACTTTTCCTTCGCCAAAATCCCCTTTGTACCATGGGAGTCAGAAGAGGGAGATATTACGTGATAATGTCCACCGTCTAATTGGCACGCTCGGGAGCTCCCCTTTTTGCTCTAAATTTGACTTTGTTTTAATATCTGGCTCTGAGAGTTTTACTCTAATGTTTTCTTTGTTTTTTTTTTTTTTAGTGGACCAATCTATAAACTTGTAACAACAAACTTGGGTGGTGAAAGAAGATTTGCTGCGGCTGTGGCTCGACGGCTTCAGTCGTTAGGTAATGTTTAAATTAATGTTTGTCAAACTCGGAAAATCGTTAACACCAGACGTATTCTGAATTATTCTCACGGAGTTCCAAGGAAAAGTACTCGCAATAGGAGTCGAACCTTTTACCGCCTGGTTACTAGTCCAGATGCACTACCACTAAGATATTCTTCTAGCACTAGTTCTAGACATTCTAGCAGTATAATCAGTGTGAACAACCTGCATGTAATACTGCTAGAGTGTCTCCAACTAGTCCTAGCAGAATATCTAGTACATTCTAGTCCTAGCAGTATGCTGGATGTTTGTCACGTAACCCTAGGTTAGTGGACTTAGCTCTCACGAGTTTCCTTTAGTACAGTGGTCCAGCATCTGGACTAGTAACCAGGACATAGGTTCTCTTTTGGTTTCCTATCCAAGAACATCAATCCATTCAACTAGACAGCCATGACAGAGCGCCTTTAAGTTTTTGTTTTGTTTTCCCGCAGGTGCACTTACCTAAGGTGACAGACGAGCAGCGACTGGGGCCGACTTAACGCAGTTTAATTTTGACACGCCTTACGGCCGATCTGCACTCAGGAACATGTACCAAGCCATTTCTTTGGTATGTCAATAGCCTGTTTCAGGATAAAAGATAATAGCGCAGTCCTGCAGTAAAAAGTGATGCGAAAAATGCGCGGGGGCTAGGGAAAGAGGTGGCGGTTGGGCGGTGTCTCTCCTATTTTTCCCGCCATCGCCCCTTTCCCCAGATCCCGCGCGTCTTGTTTTCGCGACGTCTCTACTATCTGAGAGCCTGACACAAGCTATACCGAAAAATCCCATTATATACGCTCAGGGCTTTAACGTGGGATTTTACGGTACCGGTATGTCAGAATTGGTCACGAATTAGAACTATGTGTGCTTGTTGCTTGTGTCATCCACGAGAAAACGTTTTTTATTTGAACGAGGAACTTTTTTGCCTTTTTTTTTCAGCAATCCATTTGTCCTGGAGTTGCTTTGTCTAAGGTTCTGTTAGCAGCACAAATTCCCGACAAGCATGAATTCACAGACTTTAACTCCATCGCAAGGGTGAGTTTTACTTCGTTGGTCGCGAACGTGGTTAAAATTCTTGTTTAATTTCTCTCCTTAAAAGTGCATTTGGAAACAAAAGTTATGACGTCAGAGACAATTTGATATGGCAGTTAAGCAGCGATATTGCTTCATAAAAATTTTGGGCAGCACGTGGGAATGAATAAAGGAAAAACGCCATTTTGTAATAACATATAATGCGATCAGCAAAAAATGACTTGATGGGAAAAATTAGAGAGACCTTGAATAATGGCAACTCAATACCCCAACAGCTATTTTGTAACCACCAACAATTTCTGCAGCTTTAGGAAACCTTTGTGGAAACAGGAGATACATTAGTAGCCTGTTTATAATAATAATAAGCATTTGGAAAAATGTAAGCTCCTTGTTTGTCTTGTCCCATCGCGTTTCTTGCTTCTCAGCATGGCGTATTTGTACCACGTGACTAAAGTACTACAAAGCGCCCATTTCGTTCGGTAGTCTAGCCCGCGCCATAGACGAAACTAAACTCTGGTTAAGTCTGTCTACAAAAAAGCGCCGAAATCCTTGTTCTGGGCCCCACCTGTGTACCAGGATTTGACTACGCGCCATGATTGGCCTTTTAAAAGTGCCATTGTCCATTTGCCAATCAGGTTGAAAAGAAACTGGAAACGCACTTCTGGCCAAACGCTTATTCCGTTGTGGGCCCAGAACAAGGATCTCGGCGCTGTTTCGCAGACATTACCTGGAATTGCCTCTCAAAAATATGAAAAAATCAAATCGGCAAGTTTAAATTTACGCAACTCAGCATAAAAGCGACTCGAGCATAGGAGGATTTGAAGATTTTAGTCCAGCATAGGGTAGAAAACTTCAGCTGCACTAGCTTTAGTATAGGCTAAGGGTTACAGGGTCCCGGCGGCACATCCCCGCCCAAAAAATCCTGAAAAAGTACGCCCCCTCCCCCGGGGGGGGTTAGATTACATATGCGACCAGGGCTGTCATTAAGAGCCGGGGGCCGGGGATTTCCCCCGGCTACTATGAGTGTGGCCCCCGCCTACTTTTTATGGAAAATAAAGGGAAATTAGAACCAATAGAAACCCCTAGGTGTTTGATTCCCCACCTACTTGTTGTATTTACCCAACAACTCGAAATCTTAACGACAACCCTGTGCGACGTCGGCTATTGGTAGTCCAGTTTCACATTAGTGGTGACTTATGAAGAAAGTCTTTCTCAAAGGTGGTCCATTACATTTACCGAGGTGTCCAAATGACTGAATTACTCTCAAGTTTAACAAAGCCCTGTTTTCTTTCGTTTCACAGCAATGTCTTCTGTCCATGGGAGTAACAGACGCCAGCGATGTGGGAAAATTTCTCAACCGTATTTTGGGTCTTAGTGTGGAAAGACAAAATTTGGTAAGTACAAAGATCCTTCCTGTTTGGTGGCAATGAAACGTACGTTTGAGGGGAAGTTCTGGGACTACCCTTGTTTCCTAACTTTTTCTGCTATTTGAACCGCTGTCGTGAATTTTATCTGTCGATTTCTCAGTATTCTTTTATCAGTCGATTTCCCACTCTTCTTTTATCGATCGATTTCTATATCAGTCTTCTTTTATCGTTCGATTTCCCACTCTTCTTTTATCGATCGATTTCTCAGTCTTCTTTTATCGTTCGATTTCCCACTCTTCTTTTATCGATCGATTTCTCAGTCTTCTTGTATCGATCGATTTCTCAGTCTTCTTGTATCGATCGCTTTCTCAGTCTTCTTTTATCGATCGATTTCTCAGTCTTCTTTTATCGATCGATTTTGCAGTCTTCTTTTATTGATCGATTTCTCAGTCTTCTTTTATCGGTCGATTTCCCACTCTTCTTTTATCGATCGATTTCCCACTCTTCTTTTATCGATCGATTTCTCAGTCTTCTTGTATCGATCGATTTCTCAGTCTTCTTTTATCGATCGATTTCTCAGTCTTCTTTTATTGATCCGTTTCTCAGTCTTCTTTTATTGATCGATTTCTCAGTCTTCTTGTATCGATCGATTTCTCAGTCCTCTTGTATCGATCGATTTCTCAGTCTTCTTGTATCGATCGATTTCTCAGTCTTCTTTTATCGATCGATTTCTCAGTCTTCTTGTATCGATCGATTTCTCAGTCTTCTTTTATCGATCGATTTCCCACTCTTCTTTTATCGATCGATTTCTCAGTCTTCTTTTATCGTTCGATTTCTCACTCTTCCCTTATCTTTGTCAGAACTAGCCGGCCAAACTGGTCATAATGAAAATGAAATGTTTACCAAAAACCCATCACTGCCGCGCATACATTTTAGAGATAAACAGATCTGTCCGGATAGTCCTGATTAAAAGAGGAATTCTCCTGGTGGTTGTACTGGTCTGGTCAGCCAGTTCTGACAAATTGTAAGTGCCCTAAGACTTTCTGTTATCGAGTTTCCTTTTTTGTTTCTGTTTTCTATTTTCGTGGTGTTACTCAATCAGTCGTGTTTTTAGCGCCCATGGAATTCGAATTTTGAATGAGTCTGATATCAAGATATTACCACTCCTTCAGGGTATAGGGAAGAGGAGATGGCTGACACCACAAACTCGGCTTCGGTATCTCAAATATATAACTTTCTCCTCTACGCCGGTAGCTCGCTAGTATAGAACAGACGCTTCTGCCTTCCCAAGCTCACTAACCCAGTTTACACCCACTTTTCTGCTGCGCTACATCTCACGTGACCACACCTCTTGTGCAAAGCACTTTGCGATTTTTGTCTCATAGGAAATGTTTCATTGTCTCCTGTTTTATTTGTAGTTATTCTCGTACTTTTGTGAGTGCCTAAATGCTGCAATTGAAACTGCAAAGCGCGAAGGAAGGTAAGTATTGTTTTTGTTACTGACCAGTTAATTTCTAAGAAACTAAGTTCTTCACCCCGAAGCGTCGATCTCTCATATTAAGCTTAGGGTCAATAAAGCTTGGTTCTTGCACGATAAGATTTGTGTCGCATGCATCCTCGAAAAAACATTGGTCTCGCATTCATACCCTGGACGCAAATGAATAGTATTGCGTGATAATTCTTAGGTATAGTGAAGGCGTGACAGACGTATCTGGATCTTCAATCACGATGGTCGGCGCTGCCCGGCCTGTTTTTAGCGACTTTCAAAGAGGCCTCATGGAAACAAAGTAAGTAGTCTTAATGAAGATATGACCCTTCCCAGTCGTGAACGCAATTTAAGCAATTGCAAATTTAGCCCGAAGTTACCATTAAGTCAATTCTTAAGGTCATTCTTCTGTAGTAGAACCTGCAGTGAGATTTTTGTCAGACTTTGCCGATTGGATGTTGTTTGAAAAAAAATCGCGGGGTCCCCAATCCCCATACTCGTTTTGGAGCGGGAGCAACTTGTAAGTGCGCAGTGATTCCTTGAGATACCAAGGGAGCTTCCGCATCAACGACGGCGATGGCAGCGAAAACGTCACTTTTAAAATGAATTTGAGTGGTTTTTTTTGGCGTGCTTATTCCAGTTCAATGACAATGTCAAACTGTAGCGGGTGAATTTCTTGGGGACCGCACTCAAGTTTAGATAGAGAAGGAAAAAAATTCTTCCTCGCTTGTTTACGTCCTCCATAAACGTGAAATTAGGCATTTTCACATCGTAGTTGTGCAGTGACGGCAACGAAATGTAGAAAAATGTGTGATGCACGTGCGAAGTTGTTGTTTAGCTAATATAAACCTAAGCCCCGTGCAAACGGACGCAACTTAACATTGTTGGCCAACAACTCCCAACATTGTTGGATGTTACATGTTGTGTCCGTTTGCACATCCTGTTGGATGTTGTTGGATGTTGTTGCGTGTTGTTGCGCAAAGTTTGAAACCGGTCAAACTTTTCAGCCAGCGACTTGTACCGCCACCGAAATGATCCCCACCATCGAAATGATCCCCAATCACCACCGAAATGATCCCCACCACCGAAATTATACCGGCGGTCACCACCGAAATGATCCCCGGAATATCGGGAGTGGAATTAAGAGGACTACAAAAACTGGACAACAATTTAATGCGTGCTTTTTATTTATTTATATTGCATCTTTTTTACGGTATGTAATTTACCTTTTACCGCACTTTATTTTGCAGTAAATTGTTGTTTTTTTTGTTTTGGTTTAACACTAGACAATAATTGTTCAAAAGATGCAATTCACTTATGTCTTCTATTTCTTCGAATTTTTTTTTTAAATTTTTGCAAGGTATACATGTAAGTGAAAGAGGTTGCGTTCGGTATTATTGTGACGACCAGACTGTGTGCGACCTTTGCCAGTACATGGAAACTCACCCTGATGTCATGGAGTGAGCCGACATTTATATCTGTGAATTTCTTTCTGACATAAAAGAATAGTGTGACAAAATGTGCTGACATTTTATAGCCCGGCACCATGCTCTAAAACTGTGTAGTTTTCAACGCAAAACTAGTTGTAATCTGCTCGTTATCACGTTATATGATAAACCTGTTCCCTGTTCAAGGCAGTTTTATGTAGTTCCTTAAAAAAAAATGTTAAAATTTTGAAAATAAAATCAGTGTATAGAACTGTTATCCGTCTAATTGCTTTCTCTATTTTCCTCTGTTTAGAATCGTGTTCGCATGAATAAACGAAGAATTTAGAATAGATAGCAAAGTCCCAAGTCCATTTAAGCCAAGGTTCCGAAAATTTATGACGGGATCATTTCGGTGGTGATTGGGGATCATTTCGGTGGTGGGGATCATTTCGGTGGTGATTGGGGATCATTTCGGTGGCGGGGATCATTTCGATGGTGGGGATCATTTCGGTGGCGGTACACGACTCCCAACATTTCTTTTCTTCCGTGATCGCCGAAACGTAGCACAACAATGTTGGATCCGTTTGCACAACTCTTCCAACATTGTTGGGGCCACGCACGCTCATTACGCATGCTTTACAAAGACTCATGGGTTGTATCCTTCCCACGATGCACTGCAGGTCCCAACATTGTTGGGAGTTGTTTCATCCGTTTGCACACCACTGCCAACGTGCACGCAACAACTCCCAACATTGTTGGCGCAACAATGTTGGGAGTTGTTGCGTCCGTTTGCACGCAGCCCTATGATTTTTTACCTTTCTGGTTGCAGTCGCCGTCGTCATTAGGGACCTTAAGATCCGACGACGGCGACGGCAACGGGAACGCCACAAAAGCAACAGGTTTAATTAGCAAAACAACAATTTTGCAGGTGCATCACGCTTTTTTGTACATTTCTTTGCCGTCACTGCACGACTACGACGTGAAAATACCTAATTTAACGTTGTACTGAGGAAGTACACAAGCGACGGCTAAATTTCCTCTCTCTTTCTGTACTTGGCTATGGTTCTTAGGAATTCAACTTTAGGATGGTTCGCCTACATTTGAAGAAGTTAGTGACTTGGAGTAATTTATGAGTACATGTTTTGAACACGTTTCCGACGGTCGTCTCTCTTTCTACGGTAGAAATTAGTCTTAATTTATTCAAGAAGAAGAACGTTACTGCTCATTTTAAAAGAAGAGAAAAAATAAAAGGTCACCATTCTCGTTTACGAGAAAATGAAGATTTAACTCTCTGGGGAGCTCCACTCCAGTGTCAAGGCAAAAGCCGCCTTGTTTTAAGTCGGTGCGTCCTGTTATGATCTGTTGGGGTGGGCTTATCAAGCGTGAAGTAATGCGCAATGCATACGAAGGAATAACCTGAAATCCCTTCAGTTATTTTCATTTCTTTTTTCAGACACATGACTGTAAACGTTGATCGCGGAATAGGCTGGGATTCGGCAGTGAAGCAGTTACAAGACAATGGAAAAAACAAGTTTGACGGGTTTTATTGTTCCAAAAGGGAACAGAAAGGGAGACGGCTTTACCTTCTAGCGATACAAAAGGAGTCTTCCACCCATCTTTTTAACATTACAAGGTAAATGTAAGGGCGAAAAACTGCTTTTCACCGATGTGAACGCCCTAAAAGTTCAAATTTTAGGTTGGTTGTTTGGTTTAAATACCGTAAATCCTCTATACGGCCCTACCCTCTCTCTTAAATAAGCACCTTCCCCTCTAACGTTTCATCTGGACTAATCCGGTATGGTTCATTAACCAGATTCAGAGACTTGAAGTTGTGATTTCTTCCTGTAAACGATAAAGTACATGCGATTAAGCCTCCCAGGACCTAAGCTCCCGGCGCGTCCAAACAAATTAAAATGAATTCGATTTATTATGACATTTTGAAGCTTGCTTAAAAACCGGTAAATGCTAAAGGTTTCTTGTTCAGCACTGCTATAGAATGTTTCGAAGCGCCTTTTCTATTTCGGTTATTAGCCCCTTCGTTTATTAGCTCTCTTAAAACCCCTTAAGAAAATGTATAAACCCAGGGCTTATAAGCGACATATTACGGTGTGGAATTTCTACCCAAAGATAATTTCCGCTTTTACTTCGTTTTGTTTTTGTGCAGACCAAACACAGGACGGTCTCCTTTTGAAGAAGAAAAAACCGATCTTCTGCACAAGTACAATAGGATTTCACTGAAAGATGCAGGTAAGGGAGGCGGGCCTAGTCAGGCTATCTTTTGTGTCTACCACCAGGAAGCCGTGTGAAATCAGAAGTGCTGTCCGCGTGTTTTACTGTTATTTGTTTGAAATCTAGTACACTGCACGGGTGCCAGCCCGTCCTAATTTGTAAAAGGTAGGCGAATATTCCTGGAGCTAAATTCTCAAAAAGTGTAGTTATCTTCAAAAAGATAAATAAAAATTCGTCGTCGTCTCGTCCTCCATAAAACGTCGCTTTAGGGGGTTTCACGTCGTAGTCGTGCAGTGGACGTTAAAGAAATGTACTAAAAAGTGTGGTGTACGTGCAGAGCCGTATTGTTTTGTTCATAAAATGAATTTTTTGACGTACTCGCTGCCGTCGTCGTTGTGGTTGCAGAGCTTTTAAAATAAAAGCCATTAAATAAAAAAATTTCTTTTGTTGTGACTTCATGTTTTGCTAATCGTTTAACAGGTTACACGAAAAGTAAAACTCGTAAAATGTCAAGTACTCTGATTGGTCAGGAACTAAATACTGTTGTATACTTTTGATTCATTAGAAGCTGGATGGAAAGCACAGTACGAAAGAACCAGAGATCACTGTATTCACGGATTAGGCTGCAAGACTGGACCTTCTTGTAAAAGTAAGTGAAAACTTTATTACAGTGGTGTATTCCTTAGAAGTCTGCTTAAGAGACCACGAGGAAGTGACTCGACAAAATGAGTTAATCCTTCTTTAAAAGAATAACTCCGACAATTTGTTAATGAATGAACGAATAAACTTTATGAACGTGTCAATACAATATCTGGTAGAGAGGAATCCCTCGTCTAATAGGGGACACCTAAAGCGCGATACAATGGTGACATTCAGTTGCAATAAAACGAATTTTTTAAATTTACAGTGAGCACGATACAATGAAAAGTTATCAACTTGTTAGTGGCTAGCTTTAAAAAAATACGTAACGTTGATGGGTAATGCAGTCCATGATTAAGATATGGTCATGCTATCTTTCTTTATCCCATCCTATCCTATCCCATTCCATTCCATTCCGTCCTATCCTGACCTGTTAATTAGAAAGAAAAGACAGCATAATAGCATCCCAATATCAATACCTTGTATGGTTACTTGGTATTGGCCATTTTGAGGTTGCGCGTCAGGTTCAGGTTGTTGGTATGTCGAGAGCACTTTGATCCCTTTTGGGACGCTATGGCTTCACTTATTGGCTGTTACGAGGTTGCGCAAGAAACTGGGTTAAAATTTCTCTCGCAAAACAGTCCCATAGTGCAATTGGACTGGCCACTCTGTGGTCAAGAGTGATATTTCACATATATTTACATGAAGTCAAACGGCAACCATAAAATGGCTAATCATTGGATCGATGACCGTTTCTGGAAAAACTCCCAACCTCCGAACCCCTAACCCATGTTTCTTTCCTAAAGCCACCCGTTAGGGAAAAACGAGAGTTAAGGTGGGTTGGGAGGGACCCAGAAACTGTAAATAATTCGACGAGATCCCGTTTTTGTTTGTTTGTCAGCCGGCTGTCGCATTACTCAGATCCATTTATTGTGTGGTGGAATTATTCCTCTGTTGTCTGCTTTGGAGATGGCCATGGCTAAAAATGCTGATAAAATTGGTCTCAGGTAAGTAACTCTTAACCCCTTCGCTTCAAAAAGAACTGATTATCAAAAGCATGAATCGCTATAAAAGCCGAAGCACTGCTAAAAAGGCTATATGTGAATGGTCGCACAATGTATTCACAGTATGTTTTAGCGGTTGATATTTTGTCCGTCTGGCGACTTCGGTTACCGAGGCGTGAGTTTTGGTCGTGTCATTGCAGGGTTTGAACCAGGCCGCGCCATTGCGCCAATCCCGCACTGCAGTTGGAATTGTCCCTTTAAAAAACGGCCAAGGGGACAATTTGTCCCCTTCAAAATTTAGGGAAAAAACTCGAAAGAAAGCACACACGAAGAGATTTATTTCAGTACAGAAATTGCAAGCTGAAACAGAACCTGGAAAGTATATTTCATCGCACGTTTAAAGTTCATTCTAAAGTTACGTTTCAGTCACGCTCTACTGCTGTTTTTGTCGGAAATCAGGACAAGACAGGACTTCTGATATTTCGCGCGGTCGCGGAGCCGCGAAATTCACAAAAGCACGAAAAATACCGCGAAATTCGGCAGAAATCTTATCAAATACATGTCTGTACAACATATTTGAAACTTATTTCAGCTATAGGGGCTATTTACTTGCCGTAAATTTGCAAATTTATCTTGGAACTTCGTCACTGAAACGTGCAAACAGATTATGCTGCGAAAAACTGGACACTAGCCATGATGTTAAAGGTTTTGCCATTGGTTCATTTCTGGAGCGTATTGGTGTTGAAAAACGTTGAAAAGCGCAAAACCGATCGATTTCTAGCGAAATTTGCCTTGAAAATAACGACAAAATCGGTCGTTTTTTACCGATTGCTTTTCGGTGAAGTTTGCCCCGAAAACTCCCGCCAAATTCCCGCGAAATTGGCCGATTTTTCCGCGAATTTCTCCCTAAAATCCCGCGAAATTTGACTTTTTCTTCCGAGACCTATCAGAAGCCCTGCTAAGACAAGCCCCTTTACATCAGCAGAAGGGTGTACAAATTTTTTGTCCCCCTGAAAATGAAAATGTCCCCTAAAATTTTAGCCAAGGGGACAAATTGCCCCCAGTGGTCAAATTCTAGCTCAAACCCTGGTCATTGTGTTTGGTTCTTGTCGCCGAGCAGTTTTTCTTTTTCCTTTTTGTTGCAGCAAGGAAAGTCGATCTCTGAGAGTAGTCCGCGTTGAGCTAGATAACGGTCAGCGGCTGGTAGGTCTGCGTTACCCAGAGCAACTCATTCCGGAAGCTACATTGTTTCTGAAGGAGCAAAAGTTGCTCGACGCCGTTATCGTAAGTAAATATTGATTTGTATAAAGAAAAGTGTAAAAAATTCTCATCACACATTTTTGGCCAAGCACTCGTGTTAAAGAACAGTTCCCGACCGGTCCTTAATTTTAGCAGCGTTGAACGAGTGATAACCACACTCAGTCATCATCAAGAACTCCTCTTACCCAAGAGTGACCAACATTAATTTTCTCCTAACAATAATATTTAACAATTATTCCTCTCGCCTTCATGGCCTCTGAGTCAATAGCCCATGAGGCCGAAGGCCAAATGGGCTATCGACTTAGAGGCCGTGAGGGCGAGAGAAATATTTTTTTTTAGTAAAATCCAACCTAGCTGGTCAAAAATATCGAGACAAAACAGGTTTAGCTGGTTAAAGCTAGACTTTAATCCTTTTTTTGCCGCCGAAAAGCCCGCCTTTTCGCTACTAGTGGGCTATAACATATAGCGTAGTAGTAGCTCAACCAATCAGAACGCAGCATTGATAATAGACCACTAGTTGGATTTTACTAAATAGATTTAGCCAGGGCTAAAAGCGAAGCTCTGGTTAATAATACTTATAAACAAGAAAAATTAAAACGTGTAATGCTAAACGGGGACGGCAATGAAAATGGCATCAAGTTTAATAGAACTAATTAGCAAAAAAACAAATTGCACGTGCAGCACACTTTTTTTTCTAATTAGCAAAAAAACAAATTTGCACGTGCAGCACGCTTTTTGTCTTTCGTTGCCGTTGTTTTGCACAACTACAATGCTGTTTTGTTGGACTAAATCGTCAAACTTCCTAGTTACACATTATTTTTATGGAGGAATTGTCGTATCTGCTTACCCAATATTTTGTCTCCTGTTTTCATGTTCGCTTTTATTTTTCACTGCCCCTCATTTTCACCTTGCTGGGCGTTCCTTGCTGGCCGCTAGCATTTCTCATTATCTCATCGCCGCTTTGAATTTTTATGTTTTTCTTCCTACAAAATTCGGCTGTAGCTCTTTCTCTGTTATCCACGTGAATGTAAACATCAAAAATAACATCGAAAAATACATGACTTTGTACTTCTCACTTAGGGCAAAATGTTGGCTTAGGGGAGGGGTAGGTGGGCAGTTCCCAGAAGCGTGTAATGATCCATAATATCAATACGTAACCAAGAGAAAAGGTTATAAGAATTAATAAAATGTAACCAAAAGTTGATCTTTTACCAAATTCTCTGTTCTAATTTTGTAAAAACATACGTGAAGAAAAAGTCCGGAGATTTTGTTTGTCTGTGTATACTGGGTTTTCATAGTACACAACAGAGAATAAGTTTTATTTTAACATCGCAGCATGATCTTGTTACTTATCTGATATTTATTTCAAATTATTAATAACCTGCTTCTAGGCTTCAACTTTGAACCTTGTTAGGTATTGTTTTGACTTAAACGATTATCTTTTTTTTGCTGTTGTTTTTTTTCCTTTACTTTCTAGGACAAACAAAATGGTGTTTTGAGTTCAACAGAACCTTCTCTTAGACAGCCATCAAAAGCCAGCCGAGCGTTTGAGGAAGCGGAAACTCCCATCAACCAAAGGACGTTAACTAAGGCTACTAATCCTCCTGTAACTATAAAGAATTTCTTTAAACCGAAGACTGTTGAACGATCACCTGAGAGTAATAAAAGTGCATCAGAACATCAGGATGTTAAGGAAAAGAGCGGGGAAAATGACTGCAATGAGATCGAAAATCAAGAAATAGAGAACAACTTCAAAAACAGTACGGATGACAAACAAGCAACCACCAAAGTAAGTAAGAAGGAAGTCAAATCAATATACTTTAAATCGAAGGGAAGTGAAAAGGAAGACCTCCCGGAAAATAAAGGACCTTTCAAAGGTGCTGCTAAGTGTAATGGTCTTGTGCGCCACCCTTCGGAACCCCTTTCGAAAGAGAACCTTCAAGGAAAGAACTCTTTGAAAAGAACTGGTTCTGAAGCGTCGTCAAGGGCGATTAAGGGACAGAAGCAATCGAGCATTTTGTCTCCGTTTGGGAAAAGGAGTGACAAAGATTCTAAGGACCAAATTGAGAAGGAAGTTCTCTGCCCTGTTTGTGGGGAGAAATTTGCGAGCGGATTCAAAAATTCTGATATCAACAAACACATCGACAATTGTCTCAGTAAATGATAAAAATTACGAAATTTATATATTTTTAGCAAAAATGAATACTAGTTATTCTTGAATCACAATATGACATAATCAGCAATAGTATTGTTACATGTAACTGATATAAGTTTAGTTATGAAATTATAACACGTTCATGGTTCTGCAGTTTTTTTTTTTTTTTATCGAAATCTTTTCAAAGAAACAAGCTTATGCTACATCCCTCTGATTCTGCACTAAAACCTGTGTCAATCCGTGGATTTACGCTCCCATGTACAGTCGAAATCCGCTTTGCGGACACTCGCTTAATACGGACACCATCATTATTACAGACGGTTTTCTTTGTCTCTGGGGAAAGAAAACCCTTGCATTTCCTCTAAAATTTGTCTAGAATTTTCTATTACTTGAGGACGGCTAAAAATTTATAGATGACCGTTCCATTCACGTACAATTCTCCACGGTTTTCTGAAATTTTATTTTTCACATTTTACTTTCCAAGTTAGACTGTTTTTCGTAGAAAAAAGGAACCTAAACTTTTCGGATTCAAAAATGTGGTGGCGAGAGGAATCAGAAAATTTCTCACTTTCGTAATACGTCAAATTTCTTCTAAAATTTCGGAAAAATAATACTCAAGCCTTTGTAATTTTGAAAAGACTCAAGTTCCCCAAGGATGACCAAACAGATACAAATTTTACGCGCCGTTTAGAATGCATTTCTAGATATCTAAAAAGTACTCTGGATAGCCTGAAAAGGAAACCATCGTTGGGTGCCCCGATTAATAACTTATTCCTTTCTCTAAACGGCAAAACTAGCCAACAAAATGAAAAAACCTGTACTAGATATGATTGATACCCCAATACATTCTAAATCGAAAAAAAGCTATCATTTAAGGTTTTGTCAGCCTCAAATCGGCAGAAAAGTAAGAATTTTACTTATGTATTTGCCAGAAAAAAAAAAACATAATGATATACATACAGACATGCAATATATTGTAAAAAATGTTATTTAAAGATTAAAAAGGCGTAAATTGCAAGTAAAAGAATTAAAAGTATTTTTCTGACGAGAAAGTTCAAACAGAAGCCTTGGGCTTATTATATGAAGAATATTCACTCCGTGGGTCGGAAAATAACATTCTAAAAAAAGAGTGTTTTCGTCGATAACACAAGCATCAATTTTGTTGTCGACAAACCGCAACTCTTTTTCCTTGTCTGTGTGACAATCTTTGATAAGTAACGCTAATATCATCGCCCCTTTCTCGACAAATAAAAATAAAAAAACTTTTAGAGTTTACAAATGCAACTTCCCGCACATTGCGTTTTACTAAGTTGCAGCTTACTATTTGTAAGTAACTTGTAAGAAAATAGTAATCGAAATCTTTTGATCACAGAACTCTTTGACAGTTTTGTTCAAAATCCCAGACTGTGGGTAACCTAGGATCGTTGCTATTTAGAGAGGTCATGGTCTCAAAAGTTAATACCCACTTCGAGTCCTTAGTAACTGTCAAGCGTGATCATTCGAACAATGAGTATTGAAAACCAAATTATTTTTTTAAATGATTTTTTGTTTTGCATTTTGAGCTAATGCGCTCATGCGATTAAAAACGATAAAGTCAGGGACGAAGAATTATACCCATATTTTTCTATTCTTGACTTTTATCGTCAAAAATTGAAACTCTTCCTCGTTCCGTGGTTTCTATTGTCGGTCGCGTGATATGCGAGATCAGGCAATAAATCTGAGACACACGAACCATTAGACGAACTTGAATAAATTAGTCTCGCCTAAATAGAAGATGGCGCTCACGCTTAGTTCGCTGGTAACCAATGTGAAATCGGCCTTCCAAAACCACTCGGGTTCCATAAGAAACACAACTGTCGCCTTGCTGGTGTTTGGCCTGAATGCCGTCGTACAGAGTGAAGATTTCTTCCAGTGTCCTCCAGACAACTTTGTTTTCTACGCCAGCTGTTCCTTCATCATTCCTGCCTTGTTTTTGTTTATCGCGACGAGTTTTCTTCACAGCGGATTTTGGGACCATGTTCGTGGATGCTGTTATTACGAAGGTCAGTACAAGCGAGGAGCAAAACGGTACTGCTGTTGTTTGTTTCCAAGATGGCGTTCCAGCAAAGTTCTTGTGGAAATCGTATTCCAAAGTTCTCTGTCTGGGTTCATGTGGATTTTCTGGGCACTCTTGCAGCGTGACTATTACATCTGCGCCGCTCTCGGAGGAACGAAAGCAGCTAAATTAATCAGTGCCTCAGCTGCGCAAAAGTTACAAATCGAAGCAGATTACGCGAACGCGGGAAAAAATTAACAGACGCCAGCGTTGCTCGTGCTAGCTGGAGCGTTACTTACAGCTTTCGTTGTTGTTTCAGTTCAGCGATGCTGCTATCAGCATCAGTTCGGCACTTTACCGAGTCCGTACCAGTATAAGAAGCTCGAGTCAGAAGCTGCTGTGGAGGCCTTTAAACTGAACATGGAAAAACTCGCGAAAGGACAAGGCAAGAGGCGTGACGACATGTACTTTGCTACCATGAACAAGAAAAACCCGTCTGACAGCCTTAAGAGTGCCTATGAAAATCTCGTGGCTGTGAACAAATTTGACGAAGAAGATTATCAGGAGCTCCAAGCACAGGCGGTTATGGGCATCTCCAGGGATGATAGAGTCTCCAACACAGAATTGCTGCGCAGAGCCAACATGTCATGCATTAAGGCACTCATCATGAAACCAAAGGTGCGGGGGGGGGGGGGGGGTGGACATGTGGTTCGAACGGACGACGCGCGCCTCCCGAAGATGGTCTTCTTCTCTGACCTGGCTACCGGTGCGCGTAGCATTAGACACCCTCTGAAGAGGTTCAAACATAGCCTGAAACAAAAAACTGAATTGAATCCCATTCTTGGATGAGAAACCGTCACCGCAAACCCCAGCGCCCGGAGAATGGCCGTCCACAAGGGCGTTCAAGGCTTTTTAAAAAGCGGCTGTACAACCTCGACCAGGCCTTTCGGAAGGCCGGGTTCTAGTTGCGCGAAGGCTGCGTCTTAGCGATTGAATCGATCTAAACGGTTTCTTCGAGTTGCTTAGGGTAGGCCATTATAACTGATTTTTTTTGTAAATTTACAAAGGATGGGGAGTGGAAAGTAATGGACAAAGAACTACTCAGCAGCCAAGCGTCAACAGGAAAAGGTCAAGCGAAGCCTTTCCCCGTCATGCCGCCTGTAATCGGAAAAAAAGACGAGGATCTCAGCAGTGACGAAAAATACGAGGAGGAGAGCTTTCAATCTAAACAACTCTTTTTATTTGCTTGGCAAATTGCTAAAAGAATGGTAATTACTATATGATTATTTTCTGAGCGACGTTGCTTCGATTCAGTTTCTGTTTTTATCATTCAAAGATCGGTTTCAGACTATTTCAGAAGCAAGAAAGAAAGGACATATGGGTTAATTTTCTAGACGAAGAATGATTTGATTTTTTTTATTAGAATGTCAAATTAGTTTTAGTGGAGAAATTGTCTTAGTCGATCGAACCAAATTTGGCATGTTTCGTATAATCTTGAATCAGTCGTTCAGATCAGTTCAGTTCAGTATTTTTCTTTTAATTGTTTGCCCCTAATTTTCTCGCCTTCACCCATGCCCTTTTAGGCAGTAATAGTCCTGTAACTGAAGTATTTTGGTACTTATTTTCATTTTTCCTCCTTCCTTCTTAAAATTTACCCTGGGTACCAGAGGTTTTTCTCGCGTGCGGCGGGAATTTTCGGTGTTTGGCCGAAGGCCGACACATCTTCGGCCGTAGGCCGAAGCCACGAGCGGCGAAGCCGCGAGAAAAACCTCTGGCACGGAGCGGTGCTTTTTACCGTCCCCGTTGACCTTTGTGCTTTTTTATCGGATTACATTTACGCCAATCAGATTGAAAGTGTCCAACTGTGATCGTGTGGGCCGGCACGTGAAGAAGTGTCCAAAGACCCACATTATCCTTAGCAAAACAAATTCGAGTTTAAAATTCATTGCTTTAAGAGCAATCATCACTGGGTCACATCGCAGTTCTCCATAGTTGATGTAGCTTCAGTTTAAGCTGCAATCTATTCTTCAAGATTTGGATCTGAAAATCACTATCCGTGAAAATTTAACATCCTGTTAAAAACGCTAACGAGCTGGGCCCAGCGTGAAAAAACATTGCATTGCGTGACAAAACATTGCAGGAAACCGTCACTTTCACGGACAAAGAGAAAATCGCTTATAATTATTCAGATCCAGGAGGCACTTTGAGAAATAAAACAACCTAAAACCCTTATTTAGAAGACCAGACTTAGCATTTCAAAAGAGGTCAAAGAAAATGCTCTTGCATCAGAAGGCAAATCATGTGCCGACCAGACACAATAACCGCAGAAAATCAATATGCGTGTCACGACCTCTCAGTATGAAATAAGCGGCAAAAATCAAATTTGCTTAGTCAAAACGTTTTTCTCCAGAGCATAATCTACCAATCACGGAAAAAAATTCATTGGAACAAGCAGCATTTTGGCATGAGGTAAAAGTCGTGTGTTGCCTTCTGACCCCCCTTTTATACTAAAAATACATGTTTTGTTCTTATATTCCTAACCCATCAACACAAACTATTTCAAATTATGTTGTAATCGTTTGAAATAGGAAACTAGTAAAGCTTAAACCGTATTTGCTACAAAAGCTGAATTGGTGATAAAAGCTTAATTGCGTTGAATAAAATTAAATACTCCTCTTGTTTGCTCAGAGCTTTTAACTTGTCCTTCTAGTACATTGCTTATCATGCTCTTTCAAAACTTTCCAAAGCCAACACACAACACAACAGCAACACTTCTCGCTAGTCAACGGCAAAGTTCGAAATATTCTTTCACGTGCTGGTCTATTCTTGTCAACCAATTGTAGCGTCTGTTAGATTCAAAGTCCCTCAGGCGATCGTTGGTAGCCAATCAGCCGTCTTGTCCAAAATCTGGACCAACTGATTTAACCGTGTTAACGATTGGATCGGCGCCATCAAAGCAATAGCGCTCTGCTCCAGAGGCTTTTCGCGCGGGTCACTATAAAGACTTGACAGAAACCGGAAACCGCGCTAGAAAAGTCTCTGGCACCCAGGGTACTTAAAATTAGAATCATCTCGCCGAAACAATCTTGTTCACAGAGACCTTGCTGCCCGTAATGTTCTTGTTGGCCATGACAACCAAATCAAAGTGTCAGACCTTATGTTGATGAGACAAATCTATGAAGATGTGAGCAGCTCAGCGAAGTCCAAAAAACTTCCTGTGAAATGGATGGCCCCAGAATCACTCTATCAAGGCCTTTACACTACCAAAAGTGATGTGTACGTACAAAAGATTCCCACTCTTTTAAACACATTTCGATACATTGCTGCTGAGAAAACCTCAGCTACCCTAAAAATCGTGATCAGTGAGTTTAATTCAAACCGATCTAGAATTCCAGTGGTTAATATAGTGGGTAATTTCGTAATTGTCAGCGCAATTTTGACTCAGGACGATATATAGTTTTCATAGTCAATAGCGAGAGCGGCGTCTGTTGAATTCTTAAATCAGAGTGTATGTAAAGATCACTTAGAAGCTTTCCTTTGCCGGGAAAGTTTACGAATATGCGACAGACCCGTCACGTAAATTGGTATTGATTTCCCTACTCTATTAACCTTGCTAGGCCATTTGCTAAGGGCTTTGAGCATCTGAGGCCTGGTGTCATAGGGTTTAGTCAAGCGCGAAGGCACGGAAAGGTGGACACACGCCCTTTTCCCCTTAAGTTCGTCAAGTAAAAAGAAGAGGAGGAAAATTTATAGCGTTTATGCAGTGGGTATATTCATGACCTTTGTGCTTTTCTCTACAGTTGGTCTTTTGGTGTTGTTCTTTGGGAGATGGCTACATTGGGTGAGTAGACCGTCACACTCTGATCTTGTTACCTTCTAAGGGGAGTGAGATCCCAAGGACTGTCCTCCCTGGTGCCACGGGGGATATGACTTGAATAGTGCGACTAGCCTGATATTAAAGGACGACACTGGGACTTTTAAAAGAGTGAGTCCTTACTAAATCAGGTTATGGCCATCAGGAAACAGGCTGATACCTGATCAATTGTATTTGTGGCAAGCCATGCCAGTAGGTTTTTTTTGTTTTGAACTAGGCTTTATGTCTGAAATCATAAATAAGTGATAATCGGCATCAAATATGTACGCATTATAGAGATTATTATTACTAAGCACCATGCTTTCTTTCTTTCTTTCTCTCTTTCTCTCTTTCTTTCTTTCTCTCTTTCTTTCTTTCTTTCTCTCTTTCTTTCTTTCTCTCTCACATTTAAATGCAACTGTGACCCCTATTCAATCACTATTGTTTTGCAAAACTGCATTATTGAGTGCGGGGCCGGGGAATGAAGAGTCGTGGACGTTGACATTTCCAGTAGAAATCTATCCAAGGGAATGAGCCGTATTTTCAAATAATAACATGTATATTTTTTTCTTTCTCATAACGTGATCAGGAGGCGTATCATACGCCACGCTGACCAACTCAGAGTTGTATCGACTGCTTGGCACTGGTTATCGCATGGAAAGGCCTGACATGTGCTCCGATGATGTGTACGTTCCTTGATCAGAATGGTCTTAACGTTTACAAATAGATTCAAATTCCGTGCGTCTTCTTAGTTATAAATTATAGCAATGAACGTGGCAGAATACAAGTCGGTTGGCGATTTTGACGTTTTTTTCGATCAAATTGATTACTGAACAGACGGACGGCAAAATCTTAGCTTCAATATTTGTTTCATACAGCAATATGATAGTGTTAAGACTTTAACAGAGATCGACCGCAAGGATTTTTTCTCCATGTTCGATATTTCCTTATGGTAATTCATTAAAACTGGGTATTTTTCTCTTACCTGGTAACAGCTTTATTAGCAAAATTTGGCGATGTTGGCTAAGTCTTTAAAAACTTTAAACAACATGTCCAGCAGACCATTCCAAAACCATCCGGCACACGAGGGTCCCGACGGTGTCGTATTTTCTCTCGTGTGCCACTCGCGTGTGTACTTCTCAAGCGATCGCCCTAAGTGTAGAGCTTGTTCGCAAGCTAGGTATAAGAAACCGACAAGCCTAATGATCCGGCGTGAGTGGCTCCCAGCTGGTTTAAAGGAAAAACTTTTCTACTAAAGTGTCTTACGGGGTGTCTTAAACGGTTTTTTTGTATGTAATAATGGATTGGAACTCTGACTAACTTAAATTGTTGTATTTTTTTTATTCATAGCAGATATGAGCTTATGACTGACTGTTGGAAGGAGGAACCTCTCTCTCGTCCCAGTTTCTTTCAGCTGATCGAAAAACTGGAGGTGATAATGCAGAGGGATGCACCATACTTGGATCTAAACAAACATAATGAAGGTCATCCGTATTACAACGTGCCCCCTGAAGCTAGTGGTGACTAATATGAAGAAGGAGTTTCCCCAATAATCAGACAATCTCAGACCAAACGAGTATAAACAGTTAACTAGTAATGATTATCGAGAAAGTAATCTTAAAACGTTTGAAGGAAGTAAAAGTAGAAGCATAACAAAAACCGTAGTAGCAGTCAGTAGTAGTAGTCAGCGGGATCATAAGCGCGCACAAAGTTTTGGCAGAGGAGCTGCAAAGCCGCTCGGCTCGGGAAAGGGAAGGAAAGGTTTTGAAATTCCCTTGCAGCTTCACAGCCAAAAGTGTCGCACGGGCGAAAAACAAAAACAGGCCAGCTGATCTGACATGCAGACCAAGCGTACTATGGTTGTTGCATGTTGTACAACAGGGAACTTAAGAACCACGGCGAAGTTCACGAAAACGACGTCGGTTGACTGGGAAAAGACTGGAACGAGAACGTCAGTTTTGGAGGCAAAAAGGAAACTGAAGATGCAGTCGGTCGGTAGGTCGACGACGACGACACTGAATGTAAACACAAATGTAAAACTGTGATGTTCGTTCGCAACAAAGTTTTTTGAAATGGCGTCGTTTAAAACAATGCAAGATCTTATTTTTAAAAGCGTACGTCTAATTTCATTGACGATGAAGAATTTTTTGTGTTGTCTGACCTTTTCGAGTGGAAAAACGCCTGCTTTCCGCACAAAGATTATTCAACTTTCAACCTGAATGAGATGACCGAGTGCGAGTGTCTGTCAGAGTTTAGATTTGGAAAAAGAGACATTCTGATACATGTGATAGCTGTTTTCCAGATAAAGTTTATTTCCTCTATATTATGATTTGCCTTGCCAAAATACGTACAAGTAAATTTCTCACTTACGAGTTCGCTTGCTCGGCTTTCACAGCTGTTGTCATTCTTCGAAGTAAAAACAACTCATTATAGTACACTTTTAGTCGAATTTTCAATCAACATCGCTTGTTAGGAGAAAAAAGGAACGATACCTGGATTTGCGAGGTTAAGAAAAAACAAAGGACTTCAAAAATCGCTTAAAACAGTGGATTTATACCTGCCGAACCTTCTGGATTGCAGGACGACGTGATTGTACTATGTTTGGCGTCGTCGACGACACCACGACGACGAAATTTACTGGTCGCGCTTTCGCAGTACTCTGTAACTCACTTCCGGTCGTCGTCGTGGTTCTTAAGTTCCCTTTTGTTAAATAGAGGTTCGTTAAATCGAGGTTCCACTGAAGTTCAGTTCATACGAATAGCCTGCGAGCCGCAGACGTATTTCCGGTCGTCGCCTCTCTCCCTCCGAAAAAAGCGTCTGTTCCCCGCACACTACCTTTTCAACAACTGGAGCGAGATTGGTTTGTGGTCACGCACGCTCTCGGCACTTATCGATCCGGTCCATAAGGTAGTAGCTAACCTGACCTAGTATTTATCACACCGTCGCAAAACTTCCTTACCGGCTAAAACCTTCGTCAGTTCTAGTCGAAAGAGAGCTGAGAAGCCGTGTGGCATGCAACTTCACTTTTTGCATAAGTCAAACATCGGTCAAACAAATGTGACAAGGTGTTTTAATTCTCGCGCGCCCGCGAGGGGGGAAGGGGAAGTGGGGAGTTTTTGAGCTGCAGGAATTTTTTTTCGTTATCAAATTCCTTTTATGAATTTTTTTTAGGCCATAGCATAATTTTTTTTTTAGGGTTAATTGGCGTGCATGATATATTTTTTTCATTTAATTTTCCCCTGCGCGAATATTTTTTTGTACTTCGCCCCCTCCCCCGCCCCCCCAGCCCCCCATTAGTTTATTTAATGGACCGTCCCTTCAGGCCTCTGTTTCCCGTAGAGGCCCCTGCTGGTATTTCAAGAATAAAATAAACAGGGTACGGGTGTGATTTAGGAGGAGAAAATAGGCGGGAAATTGTCCCACGCGCGCTTTCCCCTCCTCAATAATAAAATTCTTGCGTTTAAACCGGCCGTAGGGCACAGAGTGGCTATGAACTAAAGATAAGGGAGCTCTCAATCTCGTCCCCAGGACTTTTCCCTCAAGCCCTGGGGACGAGGTTGGGGAGCTCTTTGAATGAACTTTTCACGTGATCATGATTATTTTTCTTAGCGTTGTAGATTCGAATACAAGTGATAAAATTCGAACAATAAGGGCCCGAATCACATGTAATAATGCAAGAAATCTCGACCTTCGTTACCTTAAAAGGCTACTAGTACAGATTGCAAAACAAGAAGACTTCATATCTTTAAGATTTTTGCATTTATTTGGCAGCAGATAATACACTAAAAGTTCTAGTATATTCCAACCAAATGACCTCTTGGTGGGGGTGTGCCGCCCGGTTCTCCAAATCCTGGCCCTATTTCAGACCAAAAAATGTTATTTTTCACACCCGTTTTCAGACCTGTCCTTCAAGAAATTATGTCACCATTACTTAGATTACAACAGCAACAATGCAATCCATTAGAATTCGCATATTTCTTTTTCTTTCTTACTCATTTGGAACTGAAACAATAAATACGTTCGTACACTCCCGTAGTGCCCTGGTAAACCATACCCGATTCCAGAGCAAAGTCTACACCCTTTTTCAGACCAAAACCAAGCAAAACCCTCTAGGAGGGCACATAGATTCGTAGGGGAGTACTTCCCCGGGCCCAGATAATACAAACTATTTATTGGCATGTTCACTTGATATCTGCCATGTTTGTCCCGGAGAATCGATCTTTAGCGGACTATAAGAACTTGTTTGGCGATCCAGCAAACTTTAATATTTAGAGTAGCTAAACTGAGACAAACGTCGAACTTATCACCCAGTTTGGTTCGTCTCATGAAAAGTTGGACCTTTGGCCTTGGTTTTAGTCGATCCAAACTCATTCAAACAAACTTGACTGCGACAGAAGACAAACTTCTTATGAACTTAACCCGTTCAGCTTGGATCGGGTGGTACTGAACAAAGTTTTATACAGGCAGGTACCGCCCCAAGGTCCAACCCCTTGCCCTCTAAAATACTGTTTTTGACAGAAAAGGTAGAAGCCCTTCCGTTATTCTAATTCTGATTCGTTTCGTGTTATCTGCAAAGGGGATGTTCTATCACGGCGGATGTGCAATTGTACTGGTGCTTGTGTTAAGATATAATCAAGGTGCGAATGTCAAGTGGACAAAGACAGTAATAATAAAAAGTTCTCGGGTTAACGTTTTTTAAAGATGGCTCACGACGGCCGTTTTGAAAGCCTCCGCTGACTGCTTTTCAATGACACAATTTGGTAAAGATTTCCAGTCTCTGATTGTACGTCCGATTAAACTTTGTTGCTATTTGTTTATTTTGGCATTAACTTGAAAGAATTGCCTAGTGCCCTGTCGCCTTTTAAATCATATACAGGGTATAGCTGATGACCAGAGACAACTTTGAAACATCATTGTGAGTCGTGCAACTTTCCCCCTTTTCTTGATTGTTGGCCATTTCAAATCATTGAGACTTTTCGAGACAGTTCCAGGAATGATCCTATATTCTTTTTAACAAAACATGCCGCTAGTCTCTAGCTGCACACTCTCAATGTCATTTATCTACTTTTGAATGTGCGGGTCCCATGCGAAACATTCATATTCAAGCTGTGGTCTAACTAAAGCAAGATAGGCTTCCTCTTTAACGTTTTCTGGGCACTTAGTTAGGTTTCTTCTTATAAAGCCAATAAATCTGTTGGCTTTGTCTATAATTCCAGCAATATGAACATCCCAGTTTAGATCACTGGATAGCTCAACTCCGAGGTACAGCAGCTTCCAAGGGTTCTCCGTGGATAGTGTGTTGGTATTTAACTAGAGTTTTTGAGCACGAGGCTCTTAGGATGGTGCATTTCTTTGCATTAAACGAGAGCTGCCATGTGTCCGCTCAGTGTGCAAGTGTGTTTAGGTCTTGCTGTAGTGACTCTGCATCATTACGATCTTTGATTACACCATAAAAGGCCAATTTGTGCTTTTGTGTTTTCGCCTATATCGTGTATGTACAAAACGAACATGAGTGGGCCCAACATAGTACCCCGGGGCATACCTGATCTCACGGGAATATTTGATTTCAGGTGGTTAGCAATTGTTCGAGCCAGGTCTTGAGATTTCCACGAATTCCGTAGAAATCTAATTTATTTAACCATCGGCGATGGGGCACCGTGTCGAATGCCTTTGAAAAATCGAGTAACAACAAATCACTT